CTTTTTTTTACGTGGCCTAAGTAGGCCATATCACCTAGCCTATGTACATGTAATGTGAGCATGGTGAGCATAGGCCTATAACCATGGTCAGACTTTTATAATTTAACAGCAATGAAGGCCATAAGGTAAGACTAAGAGATCCGTCATGTCCATAAATTGATATCACTAATGGTTCCCTGCAGTGGTAAATCAGCCAGCTGATACTAAAACGGTTTACCAGAAAAAATACTGAAGTTTTTGTTTAGAAAATACATGTAGTTAGCATTTTCAAACCAGTCTCGTTGGGTTTGAGTACAGGGTATAAAGTGATGTTCATTTGTGGAACTCTTTCTGGCCGTGATAACTGTTTAAAGCCATGAAATGTGGCAAAAATACTTTGCTTGGAATCTTGTCTTCCTACTATACCTCCGTGGTTTTCCACTTTTGCGGACTTTATACCTTGTGCCACAGACGTGTGTTTTGTGGCTAGACCTATGATGAGGTGAGAAAGGTAGAGAATAAAGGAAAGAAGAAAAAGCAAAAGATGTCATGAAATATAGATATTATTCTATGCAAGCAAGGGAAAACCAACATTTGGAAAGAGTTCCATTTACGGACGCCACTTGCCACCCCATGCACAAACCCTATGAGACTGGTCTGAAAGTGTTTTCTAAGTGAACGCCTTCGTATTTTCCCCCCTAAATTGAACTTTTCTTGACATATATGCCTTTTTGATGGCTAATAGGTCAATGTAGGGAATAATTACTGGCGTCCATATATGGAACTTTTCCCCGACATTTTAAGTGATGTTCACTCCTCAAAACGAAGTTGAACATGCTTGGCAAATGTCAAGAGGTAGGTGTTGGACGAAAAGTGAAAACTGAAAAACACGTAGCAGTTTGAATTTGTTTGCGAATGTGTTCTGATCGGGAATGATTTTGAGAGCGTTCTGAATTTCAGTACATAACACCATAGTTGAAAACTTCATTAATTTCTTGTGTTTTCTATCTCTCGAGTACATCTTCGGAGGGTGCTGTAAAAGAAGACATTCTGTCATTCGCTTCTATTTTTTTCTGTCAAAAACAGAAAATCATCGGTTCTGGTTTGAAGCATTAGTAATTGTCTCTCTTTTTTTCTTTTACAATAGATGCACTGAAGAAAGTGGTTGAGAAGGCTGTTGCCGGGGAAACTGTGCGGTCGCTTTGTGAGCTTGGAGACAGCTTTATCGTAGAGGAGACCAGCAAGATATTCAAGAAGATCAAGGATTTGAAGAAAGGTCAGGGGTTGTCTTATCTCAGGCTTGGACAAATACTCATCAACAAGACAAAGTTGTGTATCCCATGATATAAGTTTTCATGAGGCATACATAAAGCGTGTTGAAAATTTAAAGCCTCTGCAGTAAACGGCACCGAATAAAAATTTTATTTTACCCCCTTACAGATCCTGAGCGCTATTCGTGATAATTACAGTCCTATTGTTTTTCTAACAGGTATCGCATTTCCCACCTGCCTGTCCATCAATAACTGCGTCTGCCATTTCTCACCTCTCAGAAGTGATCCTGACATCACCTTAAAAGACGATGATGTCGTCAAGATGTAAGCACTGTAAAAGAAAGTTCTTTACAAAATCACAGCTTCATTGGTTCATCTTTTTGACCACTTAATACTCTTTTTAGTCTTTGAAATTTCAAAGGAATAGATTGAGTCCTTTTAAGTGTTGGGTTGAAATTAACTTCATCATTAGCTCATATCCTGACGAAAATGTAAACGAGTGTACCAGGGCAAACTAAGAATTACTTAGTATTTCCCTTAAAAGCTCTGAATCCATTGGCCTGTTAATCACTGTGATATAAAAAGTGTACCGAAAAAATCAAGCCAGTCTTAAACTTACTTGTGAGTCTAAACATCGGGGTATCTGTTGAAACGCACAGAGTTTTGCCGCTTTTATCATGTTCTGCTTCGTAAGTTATCGTGCCATATGCCATTGTTTGCAGTTTTCATAACAAATTTCCTGTAGGAGAAAAATTCACACTGTCGGTTCTTTTAATCAATGACATGATGTTGTCACAATGTTTTTCTTGGTAGTGACATGGGTGGGCACATTGATGGTTTCATCGCGGTCGTCGCTCAGACGATTGTCGTCGGTGCCTCAGCCGATAACAAAGTAACAGGAAGGAAAGCCGATGTCATACAGGCGGCGCACACTTGCTCTGAAGCTGCCCTCAGAAAAATCAAGCCAGGAGTACAGGTACTAGACTTTGAAAAGTCTTCCTTCCTCCGACCAGATGAAACTTGCCGAGTAGTGTTTGATAAGTGTAAATGTGACACAGATATTTTATAATCTTGTACTGATACTATATAATGTTCCAACATTTCAGAATTATGACATCACCAAGCTATTCCAGACGATTTCAGAGTCGTTTGAGTGCAAGCCAGTGCAGGGAATGCTGTCCCATCAACTGAAACAAAACACCATCGATGGGGAGAAATCTATCATCCAAAACCCAACGGATGATCAAAGGTAGGTTTGCTCTCTGTGGTAAAAACTCTCCTGTATACCGTTAGGGTGAAAACAAATTTCAGATTTTGTCCTTTTATGCTGTCCATTTTGAATAAAATTGATGTCTCCCAACCAGTAAGGATTCACCAGAGCCATCTGTTTTTAATCAAAGGCCTGTGTAAGAATCTTTCACAATGTAAATCAAGAGGAACTGCCGTTTTTACCTAGATAATGTCCATTTTTGTAAGGGTGCCGAGATGAGTGACGCATCAGAACGAAGAGTTGAGTTTGCAAACTGTGCATGTTTTTCATACAAACTGAAAGTAAAGCTTTAAAAGTGGCCTGAAACAATGTGAATGGGATGCAACGACGTGGTGTTTTAGGAGGACTCAGACTCGGATTTTGAGCAGATCAGTCAGGATACTTTTGTCAGTGGGTCACAGAGTAAAGAAATATCGGCAGTTTCTTGTCATTTTTCGTGAGTTAGATTGTAAAGGTAGGTCAGATGGATATTAGCCCAACCACCCTTGGCCTATTTGACTAGGATGCACTCCCATCCTTTAAATTCCTTCCAATATTTCTAAAATATATTCCCAGAAAGTTTGACCACTGCCTCGGTCTTGTTATATCCTTGGGCCATTCCTGTCGCATCTGTTTGTACTATTAGCAAATAATATCCTTGACCAGTTTGGATGATTTGACAGCTACTATAAGCCTGAATTTATGCACAGTTAAGTGTAAACAAAAAGGTCTAACCCAAGAGCTGAATTTATGCACAGTTAACCCTTTATGAGCCATCGGTGACTCCAGTGCGCCCGGCCCTTTTTTCCCCACACTGCTATCGGCGACCACAGTTGCCCGCAAGAACAGTACTTTATAAATGAATGAATGAAACAAACCTTTGACCCCTGAACCTTCAAGTATTTTCTGAAAGGTGAATATGTGGCAAACATTTCTCAACAGTAAAATCATGTTCATTTTTGACAAAATTTTCTGCAATTTTCGATTGAAATTCTGTGCATCCCGAGGTTCGAGTGTTCGCTAAAAAAAGGCGTGTACAATGGAAGCTTCAGCCACATTTCGGGAGATTTTTTTTAGACTTGGACTTCAGAAATTCCGACTGTGAAGGCATTTTGCAGACAATTCTCTCGATAGTGACTAATAATAATAATAATTGATATTTATAAAGCGCCTAATCCATCAAGCTGCTCCCAAGCACTGTACATCAAAATATAAATAAATAAATATAACCTACATGTACCATAATTAAAATTGATACTAAGGAACTAAAAATGCTTGTTTAAAAAGGTGCGTCTCCAGCCCGGTCTTAAAACTCTTGACATTCCTAGACTCTCTAAGATGAACTTCAAGCTGGTTCCAGAGACGGGGACCAGCCACAAAAACCATCCTGTAGGCATTCTACGTGGCGTTCTGCCTTAATAACATCGATATAATTTATTGCACCAGTTTCATTGCTTTGATCCGCCCTGGTTTATTTCTATATCAGTTGTCGATTCAGGTAAGTTTTTCCTCGATTTTGATCATCGCTCTGTACTGAGGACGACCCGTGCATGCCGTTTGTACTGACATAATGCCAGCATGCACAGCACATGTCATGCACCGGCGCGTGCACGCGGGATCTAGGGCCGGCCACAATTAAAACTTCATTCAATATGGCGACCCCGAAAAGGGACAGAGGGCATGCCCATGCACTAGAGGGGGTACTGGTATTCTTAAAAATATTGGGGAAACTCCTTTGTGGTCGCGCTTGCGCGCATGCAATGTACATGTAGGCCTACTCCACGTCAGTATCGACAACGAAGCTCCGGAAATCGATTGTTTGTTTACAGCTCACTTTTTACCGAGGATTTTTTTTTTAGGTTTTGTGGAAAAGGAACCGAGAGAACATGCCGACTGGAACGAAACAACGGCTTATAAAGGCCCACTTAAAAATAATCAATGGAAATGCATCAACACACGATCGGTACTTTATCAAAAGGCAGACTTACGAGTTGCACGATGTCAACTTGACCGGAGTTTTCCATAACCATTTAGCAAAAAGTTAATATTTTAAAAGGATCCCCATTTCATTTAAATAAAAGGATAAACACTATTTATGATATTTTAAACTTAGTTTAAGCGGGTTAGGAATCCTTGAATTCTAATGGGAAAGGGATAAAAAATCTAAGCAAGCATTAAATCAGAGGCTGGATTCGGAAGGAAAAAATCATCTGGGTAATTGTAATTAATTAAAAATGAACATTACAATGTAATACAGGGAATGCAAATTAATAACAGCATAATAAATGCCTTTTATTGAAGGGGGGTGGCATGGTGTACAAGAACTGAATAGCTTATAGGCCTACTCATGACATGACTGGTTGTCAAAAATGTAAATCAAGGGTTTCAAAATAATTGGCCTTGGTGCCCCCTTGAGCTGGCCTGGTGCCCTGTTGAAATTTGATGAACATCATGAAGGCAAGGCCAAAGTGGCCTGCCCCTTTTTTCCCCAAAGACCGAGGCCTGATTTGTCAGAAATGTTGACATGATTACGTGTTTTGTGTGATTGAAATACATGGACAAGTACCCACAACAGATGAGAAAAGTAAATTCAAGTGAGGCTGTAAAAAAAAAAGAAATGGGTGATTTCTTTTATTGATATTACATATTTAAGCCCAATAATTATATGCAAATTATTCAGTGTTTTGAAGCCTCAGTGTCCCTTTGAAAAAGTGATTGAAAATTGTGTTGTGTTTATTTCTCGTTGCAGATTTGTGTTTCTAAGTAAATGTCAAGTAAAAACTTCAGGAGTGATTGAGCAGACCCTTTGAAGAAAAATTAACTATTTTCATTTAATGATTTCATATTTCATAAACTTTCTAATTTGAATAAAAAATATACGCACCAATGGATAGGTTACCGGGGGTATTTCCTCCTCAACAATTAGTTTTGTTTGCATTTTCTCGTAGAATGTATCCATCACAGAGAAAACATCCATGAAAAAAACAAAACATCAGTGAGCAATTGCTTGGGTACTTGCAATAGAAACCCAGCACCATTGGAATACGTGTGTATATGGATGGTAGCATGTTAAGGGTTGAGCATAAACAACAAGGTCTAACCCAAGAGCTGGGCACAATGCCTCCATTGCAGTCAGTCAGGCTTTTTTTGGGCCAGTCATCCTCATTCATTCACATTCTCCAAAACAGCTCAGAGGATTTCAGAGGATTGAGGATATTAACCATGCCATTGAAGTATTTCTGTGTGTAGAAAGTGAATCGGCCAGTGCTATATTTCCTAATGACTTTGCTGACAGAGCAGAAACCAAGTGGTACTTTGCTTTATTACTCAGGTTTATAAACTCCCAGCAGATGCAGTTTCGCTCTGAGGGTTTTTATTAATACTGATTACAAATTTAAAGCCTTCGTTTCATAATGTCATTACTTAAGCCTTCAACCGTTGCCTTAATTTGATGATGGTCCAAACCTTTAACCTGCCTCATGTTGCTGATGTTCCCCCCCCCAACAAGGAAAGACCACAAGGTCTCTGAGGTGGAAGTTCATGAGGTGTATGCCATTGACGTCTTGGTCACGACCGGTGAAGGGAAAGTCAAGGAGAGAGATACGCGTACCACCGTATTCAAGAAGACTGACTCGGCCTATAACCTCAAGATGAAAGCATCCAGGGTGCTCTTCAGTCAAGTGGAGAGCAAATTCCAATCCATGCCTTTTACTCTCAGGTATGAGGTCACACCATCGTCGTAGTTGTTTGGTGACTGGCTTGGTTTTTAGACCAAGACTGACCAGTTCTTCATTGGGTGTGAAAAACTATGCCACTTGATCACAGAGAAGTTCTCCCATCTTCAGAATATGAGCCTAGTATGAAGTCACTATTGTGTCCCTGGGCAAGGTACGCTACCATGATAAAAAAAGTACCCAAGAAAAGTTCAGCTCCTTCCCAAAGGGAGATTCCACCTACAGCTGGAGGCTTGTGTGCAAAATATTACTTCAACTGTCCCGAGCTTAAGACAAAGTAGCATCATTTTGGGACGCTGAGATGTTCTGTGAATGGTTAACAATGTTTATGGGCCTGTTGATCAGGAGTAATAGACACTTTTTTCTCTCTCTCTCTGGACTGACACAGGGCTTTTGAGGAGGAAGGAAAAGCACGAATGGGCGTGGTAGAGTGTGCCAGCCACAAATTATTGGAGCCCTACCCTGTCCTGTACGAGAAAGAAGGCGAGCTTGTGGCACAGTTTAAGTTCACCGTTCTGGTCATGCCAACCGGTTCACTCAGGATCACCCAAGGGGTTCACCACCCAGAGTTCTACAAGACTCAATACTCTGTTAAAGACCCTGAAATCAAGGTCAGCCAGTGTTTGCCTTCATTGGAACTTTTAGGAAAGCCACGGAAAGTACAGGGTGCTAAACGAACGAACTTTTTGTCAGCCTTGCCAAATGCAACAGATTGTAACGTTGGTCAAAAGATGTTTTGCTTTGTCATACCTGTGTCTTAAATACTGTTTTTGCATTGGCTGAGAATGATCATGTGATGGGGCGACATGACCACGTCACGCTCGCCATTTGACATCACATCAGCAAGCATAGTGTACAGTGTGCTGGATAAAAGTGTAGGGACTGCTATCCACTGCTGTCCAAAGATTCCTTTGTCCTCCGTAATTGCCCTGAAAAAAAGTAAGTGAAAAACATGCAGACAGAGATATGACAAAACAATTGTTGACTGCTGTGATGTGGGATGTGACGTTTTAAAAAGCTGAAGTACGCATAGTGCCCGAGGCGGAGGGCACCATGCCTACCTTAGAGTGTTCAAGACATCATATCCCAGATCACAGTGGTCAACAGTTGTTAACCATTGCATGTAATAGGAAAGGTAAGTAGTAGAGTACTTTGTGTAAGTTGACGTTGCCAAGCTTGGCGTTAATGCTGTTCATTGCGCAGTGCCACCATTTTGTTGCATTCTGTTGCATATAGCAGAGTGCCTAGAGAAAAACCTAATTGGGAGTTTGGGTTAGTCCAGCATGAGGGATGTGCCCAACCCGTGCTCTGTAAGTTCCTCACTGGTGACAGAGCGACATTGGGCGACATTTGAACAGTGTTTGGTGTTGTTTGCCTGGTGCCCATGCAAATATGCTCCCGATTTATGCAAAGAAGCTTGTGGGTGTGTCAAGTGAAATGTGTGGCTTGGTAAAGGGCTCCCTCTTTTGTTGCCCAGTGGGAATTTTTGTTAGGCTCCAACAGCTGTGAATCTACAAAATCATGCGAGATCAGCTGTTAAATTGGGATGGATTTGGGGTGATAAAGGGTTGATGTTGGAAGTTTCAAAATCGTCACATCATATTTTGAGGTTTGTTTTCTGTTCAGGCATTGTTGCAGTTGTCAGCCAACCGCAAGGCAGCCAAGAAGAAGAGAAAGAAGGTATTTATGTCCCTTGCAGAGAAAAAGTCGAACGTTTGGTTCTCTCAAACGTAATTCATGCAGACTGATCTGAAGTTCAATAATGACTTCTGAACCTTAACCATTTCATCAGAGAGCAGGGTTCGTCATCATATAGACATCAGTATTGCAGGCTATTTTAGATAATTATTTATGAATTCATTATGCAGATAGATATCAAACTGTAAATTTGCAACTTCAGCACCCTTGTTTTTCATGTTCATAGGAAGTTTGGTCATCCAGGTTGAAATACTGACTTAGACACTGGCACGAGACCCAATCCAAGCGTCTAATACCAAGCTGTTTTTTTCTTTGATGGGTATACCGTGCATTGGAGATGATACAACATGCTATAAGGAGTGTCTCAATGGTGATCGGCTTGCTTCTGCTTTCTTTCTTCATTTTCCCATTTTCATTTCTTTCTTGCCGCAGGCTGCCAGCAAAGCGGCAGATGCAGCTGAAGCAGTCGAAGACGCTGAGGCCCCGGAGCTCGTTGACGAGAGCAAGTGAACCAGTCGTCCTCCCCCTGCCCCCTCTCCTAGCTCCTCCCCCTTTGGGGACCTCTTTACATAATGCCCACACATAACAGGAGAAGGACTACAGAGATTATGAAGACGGGGTGAGTGGTGAGTTTACGACAACAGGAGGAATCGTGAGAAAGCAAAAAATTTGGGAAGCGAACGGCTGTAACGTTTGGAAAAAAGGATTCTTTTGGGGGGATTAGGTGGGTACGAGAAAGTTTGGTTCCAGTTTTGGTGTCTCGAGGTACACTAGCGTCCCAGCTCATTCTTAAATGTGTTGCACTCTCCAGAGTGTTCATTGAGGCAGTCTCACTCTTCAATGTAACAATGCCAGTGGGATTTCCCCCCCCCCCCCGGAATTTTACATTCATTCTAAGTGTGAACTGGCCAAAATAGTTGACTCTCAATGATCACGTTGATCTAAAAAGAATACAAATGATTGTTTAGTAGCAAGTATCTATTTTTGGAGAGGAGCCATAATAGTTGTGGCAAAGTAAGCCTTGTTTACAATTTGAGCAAAATCGGGTCTGAGCATTTTTTTGGGGGGGGATTTGGAATTGGCTCTGGCTTGGCAACTTTGGTTTGGCCTCTTAGGAGCATTTACAGCGGTGCCATTGATGGCCACGGTATGAGATGAAAACTATGTCAGATTTAGTTTATTGAATAAGAACCCTACTATTGTGAGTTGTATGGATTTCTGTTTTCCAACTTGTACATGAGCAAGCAAAGTCTTTGCCCACTCAAAACATCTATCTACACCAAGTCGACTCTTTAGGATGCTCTAACATTCTTTTTGTTCAGTTTGGTCGTCATATTTGAAAGTTGTGGCTATGGGTAGTGATAATACATGGGCCTATTGGAGCCACTGCCTAGAGGTTGTGGCTACTTCTTATGGATGTATGTTACTTGTAGCCACAGCCAGTTTATTCAAACATGGGTGTACAGTGTTTGGTTTCTGTTGGCTGTTAAACATCCATTGAATTACAGATATTTGAATGTGGCGCCCTCTTGTGATATTTTGCTTTTTTCTTAACTATTTTCCTTACACTCCATATCCTTTCAGCAGGATCTGGGAATGTTAGAATTAAAGCGGCAGATTTTATAATGGAGCTTGTTTTTCCCAATTTATCAGTTTGTCTTAAAAGGACAGATGGAGATTTCTGTTTGGATCTTTTCATTTATCTTCGTTTATTTACCTTCAGAATCAGCTTGTGACTCCTTTTAAAATATGTTTGTGCAGCTTGCAAAAGCTTCCGTTTTTGACATATTTCTGGTGTGAATTTGTGACCAAATCATGTGTGGAACTGATTTTCATGACTCAAGAAGTTAGAATTACAAGGTTGATTGAATTCTTAACGGCCATTTTTGTCTAAACCATTGTGTATCTTTGCCATGAATATTCTGTTCTGAAGCAGTATTTGTGACTGGATTCAAACTGATTCAGTTTTGTACCCCATTTCGAGTGTAAATTCAAGTTAGTAATATAATGGATGCGTAATCCTCATGTTAGCTAATTTTAATGTAGAAATTAATTTTTCTGAAATGGCTGACCTCAAAGAATTCCGAGGCAGTTTTCATTCTGAGCCAATTTGAATTGACTGGAGTGATTGTTGGTCAGAACCCAATAAATCTACCTCCAACTGTTGGATTTGACTCACACCAACAAATACATATAAAAAGGTCGCAATTGGAAATTGGATTTAACTGGCAATTAAACAAAAGGGCCACCAGCACAAAGTGCACTTCATCCAAAATACAATGTAAATTTCTTTTGACGTTAGCGTTCAGGTAATGCCAGCCCTATCCTAAAGACAGTCTCTATCCACAATGTCTATGGGTCACCCTCAGAAACTGCAAAGCAGATAGCTTTTGCAGCGTGGTCTGTTTGCTACCAGCAATGATTTCACAGTCCATCCATGACTGGTAGTCACATTTTTAGCGGCTTAAATTCCTGGTTTTCAGTTTCTTGGCCAAAATACCTCGGATGCTCTGACTGTAGTGGGGTTTCTTAAATGTTCTCTTGAGACAGGTCATAATAAAGACAAAGAATCTTTTCTTGAATTCCTCACAGGTGAGTTTACTTTTTGAAAAAAAAAATCTGTTGTAGATTTCAGGAACTCCCGAGTCACAGAAATGGGAGTGGGGAAGGAGGAAAGACCAAGTCTGCAAAAACCTCTCCAACATCGCAGTTGTTTTTTTACTTGAACGTCGTAGGACTGAACATTTTGTTCTGCAATGTCAAGCCTTTGTCAAAGTATTCCTAACATCGCAGTTGTTTTTTGACTTGAACGTCGTAGGACTGAACATTTTGTTCTGCAATGTCAAGCCTTTGTCAAAGTATTCCTTTGTAAAAAGCCCATATGACTTCACACTTTGTTTACATGTGCACTTTCCTATGGAGCCAGTTGGGGTCCATAGTCCACTAATCTGTTGACCCTTTCCAAGCGTGCACTGGGTCGACAGATTTTGTGCATCGTGGATCCTGTGAGTCTTCTGGTGGGAAAATTATTTAAATGCAAGAACAGACATTGCAATTAAGTTTGAATTGTTTATGTTGACAAGCTCATTAAATATTTGGATGACATTTTTATAATTTGTGACACATACACACCTGTACTTCAAAACAAGTGATTAATCTCGGCAAGTTTTTATACAGCCAGTTAGCAGACAATGCCCTTTAATTTCAGTGTTTATGATTTTTACTCTGTAAATGAAAAAAATCCAAGTCTCTGACAGTTTTTTAAAATGAACTAGAATTATTTGACACACAATGTTTATATTTATTCATGCAAAATTTCACTACCAGATATTTGACAAGCTTAACGCAAGAAAAGTCTATCTTTATACAATACCATAACAACTTGAATACCATCAACATTGCACATGCACAAGTGGTCTTTGATCACCCCTACTACTTCAGCCACTTGGTATCTCCTAGGATGCTGCTGCTCCTGCTTGGTAGCCCCTAGAGGACGGACCACTCATGAACGGGGGTGGAGATCTGATCGGCGAGGGCAGTGGACGTCCTGGGGGGAAAAGCAGGAACAGAAAACGTGACTTCAAATTGGAAACAGCTTGAGGAAAAGAGGTCAGAATTAGGCCCTATCGTCCCCAAGCCGTGCCTAGACTAGGCATGTCTGTCTACAGCTTTTTGGCAAGCAGTGCCCATTATTGCTACCACAACAGTGTGAACGCTGGAGCTGACTTTATTCAACAGCTGTGCAACAAAATCATTTGAAAATTAACAAACAAAAAGGTTAATTTTTGCACAAGCAGTTGCTACATTCTAGGCACTACAATGCTTCAGGCAGGCAACTCATGTAGGGGAACGGCTGAAGAGAATGTCTTTTCAAAATGGACAATTTCTGGAAATTCAATGCAGGACACTGAGGCCATGTCCGAAACTGGCTTCCAGAGCTACGGCTAGGTCTATTGTCTACACATCTCCACGCATTTCCAATGGAGCGGAGACCTAGACCTAGCTCTAGACAAGAGATTTGGATGCAGCCTGAGAGTCCAAAATTTTCGACAACTAGGTTTACGAGAAAGTTGCAACTTAAAAAACACCCAAAAAATCCCTGGATAAATCGATTCTTCCGAATCATTGAAAGCGAACTGCATCTGCACAGCTCTGGGGAAGAATTCTATACACAGACATCAATATTATTTGCCTTCTGAGACAAACCAGCCTTCAGAAAGTGATAACGTCCTAACAAGTCAAATTTAGCAGTGGAAAAATTGAAGCATTTACTTAGAAAGCTTTTTTTTTTGGAACCAGTCTCTCAGTGCAGATCTAGAGGGTTCTCTCAGTCAATGTCGGGAGTAAATGTCAGACACGTGAAGGAAATTGTGTAGGCGATGTCAGCAGGAGAACTAAGGCCTCTGAGGAACGGAAAGGGTGATGTTGGAGGAACTGTTTCATATTTCAACACACCCACATCATTCATGTCATGTAGCCATGTTCCTGAGCAGGAGTCATGCTATTTCCTGTAGACATGACATTGGAGTTCCCACTCGGCTTTGGTTTGTACAGAACTTACCTCAAACCTGTAATTTGACTTTTTACTTCTATTAAAACCAACTCAACATGATCTAGAAGTTGAATTTATAAATTTTACTTGATTCTTGATGCATCAAATTTTCTTCCTTGATCCAAGAAAGGAAGGAGGCCAGAGCAAGCTGGAAATCAGTTAACCTTCCTTCTGCTGGAACAGACACAAGTCAAAAATTCCTTCCACTTGATTTGCCCCAGTACACAAACACAGGGATCACTTGACTGATTTTGACTGACTGATCGGTTAACTTTGTTCAGAATGCACCTTTTTTGCACAGGGGGATTTCAAAGGAACGTACATGTACAGGCAATGCAGACTGCTGTAAGGTATACAGCAATGAGTGGGAATAACCTACAGCTGTTACATGCTCTAAGCAATGCTACACAATGCTAACAAATCAAAAATAAATTTTTATGAGAACATGGGATTTTGTCACGGAAATACTTCAATAAAAATGCCATTATGTCTCAGTGGTTGGGATGAAAATAGAAACAGAGGAATTGACAGTCTGACTATTGTACTTGTTAAGGGACAGAACTGTACTTGAATATTTCCTCAATTTAACAGCCTCTTGCACCGTAGACATACATGTAAACAGCTCAGTATATGCTGTGGGTGTGTCTGAAAAAGGCTTAATTTATTTGAAACACATTTACAAAGATGAATGTTCCAAAGCAAACCCGGATTATGCCATGTTTCAGATTCTGTGCTTCCAGATGCCATCTTTGAGACGGCACCCCTGGAATTTTTTGCCAGGGGAAAGAAACTGACAAACCATTGACAGTGGAAGGGGTAGGTTCATAGCTTTTCAAAGCAAACTGTTCTGCCATTTCTTTTGCTTTTATTTCCCTTTTTTTGGGGGGGAGGGTGTGGATGGCACCACTTTTCCCCCTTGCAAAACCCATGCTTGGAGATGATCTTTCAATGAAGTCAAAGATTCTTCAACTACAAATACGTGTACTGTGGCAGACACAGCTGACAAATAAATGGGCCAAAGTAAAATAAAGCTTGAAATTGCCCTCAGAGTATGTATAGCAAAATGGTGTAGATCAGTGAAAAGAAGAACAAAACTACTCAGGAGAAATGGAGCTAGTGAACTAACAACAAAATAAAATTCTCAACAAAACCATTTGCTCCAACAAAATCCAAAATCAAACTTTCATGGTCAACAGAAACTCTGGATTTGGGCACTGTTGTTACAATTTTTCACTAACTAAAATTACTCTAGATACACGTGACTTCCTCAACTTAAACTCTGAAAAAAAATCAGAACTGACCCAAAGGATGGTCAGAATGTTAGGGCCAAGTCCCTCATCGTGAAGTGAGGTCTCAGGCCTGGATAGAGGGAGTAAGAAGCAGTTGGATAAAAAGGAAGAGCAAGACAACATGGAGAGACAAGTACGAAATATGATAGCTGGAAAACAAAGGGTCGCATGGTAAGGAAACAGAAGATGAGATGAGATAAGAAACGGTGTGGAGAATAGATGAGACAGAATAGATTAAAAATGACGATAGAGTAGGGATGATGGTGGTAATGATTGTGGTGATGTGAAGTGATGATGCTGGTGGTGATGTGAAGTGATGATGGCAATGATGGCTGTGGTGATGAGAAGTGATTATAGTGGTGATGGTTGGGGTGATGACAGTAGTGACATGAAGTGATGATGGTGGTGATAGTTGAGGTGATGTGAAGTGATGGTTTTGGTGATGTAAAGTGATGATGGTGATGGTGATGAGAAGTGATGGTGGTGATCTGAAGTGATGATCGTGGTGATGAGGTGGGATGATAGTGGTGATGTGAAGTGATGATGGTGGTGATATGAAGTGATGATCATGGTGATGAGGTGGGATGATGGTGGTGATGTGAAGTGATGATGGTGGTGATATGAAGTGATGGTTGTGCTGATGTGAAGTGGTGATGCAGTGATGTGAAGTGGTGATGGTGGTGATGTGAAATGATGATGGTGGTGGTGATGTAAAGTGGTGATGGTGGTGATGTGAAGTATTGATGGTGGCGATGTGAATGGGGTTCAAGGCAGTTGGTGGTGGTGTTAACAAAACTGGTGGCTTTGATAGTAGGGGGAGATAAGATTATACATGTACACACAGTTGGTGAAGATTCAATCAGGAATTGAAAATAGGAGAGAAGATAAAGGTAGACAGAGTGATAATTCTTTGGAAGAATTGACCGACGAGAGCTGTACAAGTACAACTCTAACAACTTAAAAGCATGAACTGATACAATCTGTATAATCAGGAAGAACAGAGCTTGCCTAGACATACACGGTGAAATCTGGCATATCAACTGTGTTTATCAGAAGTCAAGGTAACTATGAAACGAGAGCTGAAGCCAAGGTGTACTGAAATGCGACGTCATTTTGAACCAGAAAGTGTAGTGCAAATCAATGGAGTACTCGCATGTTGGTTCTCGTGCTCATGCATTTTACACACATAATTGTGCATGTGATGTATTCACTTTGGTACTCTGTAAAGCTGGCAGAAAAAGTCAATCACAAAATGCAATTCATCAGATGTGACATTACCTCTTGGGTTGCCTGGTTCAGACAGACGCCTGTTGTCAAACGGATCGCTGTATGAGGAAATGAAATGAAAAGTAGTCAGGCTTCCAAGATGTAAAAAAAAGAGGGAAGGGTAACGCAGTATTCTTGGATGCCTGTGAATTTGAATGTGCAAACCTACAACACAATTCATTACCATCACAAGGACTGAATTATCATTTGAAAACTGGGTGTTGTAAGCTGCCAAGCAATTCACACTGTCCAATTTGCTATAGTACAGTGTATTATACTTTGACATACATTTCGCATAATGAAATGGGGGAAACTAAAATAGCACACTAAACGTTCAAAAGATTTCTTGACAACTGTTTGGCTAACACCAATAGTGTGACCTGGTGTGAAACTTACTGATTGGTTTCTCAATATTATTTTTGCAAATTTCCCTGACATGAAAGAAAATTTTTTGAGAACTGCCCATTTTACACAAACATGATGCCTGGCAGGTGTCCAATTCAGACTGATGCAAATTTCATGTGTAGTTTCCAAGATTTCATCCTTATATGTTAATTCATGTTTACACTTGTTTACCTTCGGCCCCACCTTTGATAGTTTAACTTTGCTCACACTCATTTGCATAAGATTTGCATTACATTTGCATTAGAAGTGTGGCCATGTAAAGGATTATATAGCGATTAGGACTCAAGTGTTTTTTGGCACTTCGTGGGAGCTGATATTCATTTTTACCATTGTATTTCGTGTCGCTTTTGCCTCAATTCTCATCAAAATTAGAAGGAGTTTCGAACATACATTGGACTTCTGACTCTGGCAACTGTTTGTACGACCCAAGTCGCTGTGAATGTGAGTTATTTGGAGGATTCCGATCGATCCGCTTAATTCTTCGTGAACATAGTAAACTTTGCCAAGTTTGTGACTGACTCTGTGTAAACAACGTTTGCTATGTACATCGAGATCCAGTGACAAGGTGAAATGATTTGATTGAGAATTTAAGGCATTATATGAAATACACGTGTAAGACTTGTCAGTTTGATTAATGCCCACGGTCGCTACATCACAAACTAGCCCTATGATGTGAACTACAAGCATGTCAAGACTTTGCACATGCATACATTCCTGAATGTATGCACCAAGTCCAGCCCAATACTCAGAATTTTTGATGAAAACTGAAACTGAATCTAGGGACATAAAAAACATTCCAAAAACATTCCTTTAAGTTTTGAATATCTAGTTGAATTGCACGTGAGTTAATAATTGAATTAAAACAGCTCAATAATAAAACCCTGAAATTTCCTTTTCTGTGTCACATTTTGGACAGAGAGTGTGTCGGTCACTCGTGCACGTCCATGCCACACTTGGGCCTGTGAGTGACCAGAACAGGGTTCTATATCCCTTGGTCTTCGGCCTCAGGAAATAGGACCCTCTTCTGGTCAGTTAGTCACTCAGGGCACATAGATGTGCACTATTGACCTCATAACCAGTCCATATGTGTATCATAAGGCTTGTTTCAAGAGACACCAAAGTAATCTACAAATTCAACTACTCCACCGACCTGAAGCTTGTTTCTTGATGTCCTGGGGTTGTTGGTAAGGATGGGTGCTGAGGTGGGACACGGTACGGGGGTGGGGACGTACGACTAAACATTGGGGTGCTCGTCATGGGCAACGCATCAGGGTCACTGCAACAGAAAGAAAAAAGGAACAACCACTGATGAAAATCAGCCGATTTTATAGTGGTTATTAGAATGTGTAAACATGGGTACAAATACGGCCGCAAACATGGGTCCACTTTCTGTTACAAATGTACCATTACTATTTAACAAGCTAAAGGCAATGTTTAATCTGAGTATGCAAGCTGTGAAATTAAATAATTGGACTTGTTTTGGTAAGTATTCAAACAAAGTGCGGTAATGACAAAGTCTGTGTCCCCCCCCAAAAAAAATCTTCCTACACAGGAAAATGCAAGAGGAAAGAGGTGCATTTCAAAAATGCAACATTTGCATTTATAATGCATTATTTATGGACATTGACTGAGTGCGTTCACAGAAAAAAGGTGACAGTTTTTTTCGTCCTGATGAATTTGTATACGCACTGTTTAAACTTGATGACTCAACATGTCTGGCACTGTGATGAAGAACCTAATGTGTATGTCCTAATGCATGTAAATCCTATTCATACATTTTACATATTAAAGGTCAAATGTTGCGGAAAATTTGGTTGAGCATTGTGCTTAAAGAACTACACTGGACTTCCAATTATGATCTGTTAAATGTCGACTATGGCCACAGATAATCACTACATTGAGAAAATATCAAATCCAAAGCCACAGCCACAAAAAAGCTGAACTAGACAAAGCCTTTAGCATCTCAGTAGTGGCAAGTCGCAGGTCTTTGCGGGCTGAAAAAAAAAGCAAGCTGTCAACCTGCTGCATAGGTTAAAAAATCTGCTTACATGTAAAGCCAAAATGTGTTAGCTGGAAAGTCACACACTTCATGTTGCTTGAGACAAGGAAACTCAACTATTTTCTGCTACTAAAAACCTACATGTAAATGATGTTGGCAAATGTCGGAGGAAAATGCTCCCAACTTTCCCCCAGGAAAACACTTGACAACAATTCCTTCTCAACATCAAGAAACAAGGTCAATCCAGCAAGAGCAAAGGTTAATGCCTGAACTATCATTCAAACATGATTCAATTGTGGTTTCAAGAATCTGCAAGTTGGCCTGCTGATCAGAGGTAGAAACAGTACACTGATTCTTTTTTCAAGAAATTTCAGTGAGATCTTCTCAGGAATTTTTATTATTCCAGAAACCCAACTGAGAATAAGGTGAGCTTCAGATATGCGAGTTTCCAAACATTGCATTTGGCTTTGTCTAATTTTTTCACCCCTAATTTTTAAAATGGAACTCTGATCGTGCCACTGGAACATCTGACTGTATGCAAATAATGCAACTGCATCTGAAGTTTTTCTATTTAATTTGAACAATTTAAAGATGAGCCTAAGACGATGATGAAGCTGAGTATTGGAAAGCTGCCACGATCTCTGTCCCCACCTGTCAAACTAAGAATAGGTAAAATGTTACAGACACTATCTTAGTCTGGAACAGTGTTTATAAATAGATGGCGACTCGAAACGTCGGTCTGTGTACCCAGTATCCGTTCTGATTTATCCTTAGACAATGATAAACCAGATATGCTGCACCATTCATGTTAATGCCACTGAAGCATGGGAAGGGGCAGGTTGATTGTAGGCAGACATGAAGGAAACACTGAGTACTTTCACATTGACCACATTTGCTTTAACGTCGATGAACCAATGATCAGTATAAAAAAAATGTCCCCATGGACGAGTTTAAGAAGGTGCTAACTTTCTGACAAGCTGTAAGGACTACCCCTGTGTTTGTTATTTCTGTACCCTTGGTCTCTTTGAAGTAAATCAGGCAAAAACCCAAGGCTTTTCAGCGGCTAGTCATGGTGGCTACAGGAAAAAGGAATAGAATGGAAAGGTGGATAGAGAAAAGGATGGGGTGTTATGTTCGATATGAAACGCGATCGTTCACACTGCACATAAACCGGTGTGTGTTGTTAAAAGGCAAACATGTTTGGAAAACAGGATGAAGAAAAACAGTCAAAAACATTTCTCCTTTTCCACATGTATACATAGCAGTAACAAAACTGCAGAAAAATAAGTTTTTGTTTTGATTGGTTGTTTGTTTGTTTGTTTGTTTTCTTACTCTGTTATTATATGTACGTGGTACATGTGCTTGGGAACAATGACTTTTTCAGTTCGGTTTTGCACATGTACATTAACATGTACATTGGATGTTTGTCCCAAGTGGAAATTTTCTGAACGAAGTCTCATGCGAGTGTGGAGATGAAACATTGAAAATGATTACTAAAAGGTTTCAAGAAGGAAGCATTACTTTAAATTGTGGGAAGGAAATCTGCAAAAAAAGAAAATCTACAATCAAGTAGGAACTGACAAGCTTGATATAATGTGCATACAAGGCTGGATTTGAATTAGGGTAAAAAAGGTAACAAAGACAGAACTGTTATGAAAACTGAACACAATCAACATATTTACACGAATGTCAGCCTTGTTCCAGAGAATTTCCTCGTATTCTGTAAATAACTGATTTCTTGAAATATGAGCCAGCTAGGATGGTTTGCCCAGAAATGCACTGCGAATTACATCCTAATCACAGGATGCAGTTCTTTCCTTTTTTTGATATTTTATGCTATAAAAGTTTGCACTGGCATGCAGGGTATGGGATATTTCAATCGGAGTAACACATGCATACACTCCCTATATTTCCTCTTTGGATTCACTGATAAAATGCTGTTAATGTCAAGAAACTGGATTGGTTTCAAATATGGAGTAGCGTGTGATGCTGAGGTAAGGAATGGGGGCCCGTAACTGTTTTGTGCCAACAACTGGTTTCCAATATTTCAGAGAGGTTGTACTTGATCAAAGGGGAAGCAGTAAAAGCACTTCTTATCTTTAAATCTGATTGTCACAGGGTGTATTTATAGTCTTAGTTCATGACAGAGCTCCCCAGCGACTCATCTCCCAATCTGGAACAGGAAACTTTGGAAATAGTGACTTGCGGTTCTACCGGCAGGGGTAAGAGGTCGCCGTTCCAGTCGTGTGCCGAAGCACTCAGAGACGAACCGGGGCAGACAGGGCTTCTCATGCTTATCTCTACTCCCCAAATTCCCTGATTTGACGTCAGCTTGGCAGGATATTTCAAATGGTTTCAGGAAGACAGGTGACCAGGCTAGAAGTAAAAATACTGGTCAGTTGGCAAACGAAAGTGAACTCTACAGCCTCTTGCTGAAGGAATCAAAATTAATCTGCAAATGTCAAAGTTGTGTATGCTGTTCATGTACTGGATTTATATGACCCAAGGCTCTTCATAAAAAGCTGGATTTAAGAACAAAAATTCTGGAGAAGCAGACCTGAAAAGTAGTGCATGGTAAGTGTTTTCAGTATTTTAATTTTGAAATAGAAATTGAACATAAATATGATCAAAACCAGTGTCTCCTGGGCAATAGTTGTCAGTGGAAACTTACACACATTTATTGCATTGTATTTCCAATAATCCCTTTGGTATTGGTAGGACAGATATGTCCATAAATCACAGTTGGGACAATGTAGCAATGAACTGACCTCATCTCAAAGCTTGTTTTTTTCCCTTAATTATAAAAACTAGCACCTTCTGAATCACTTTAGTGCACTAAATTTGAAGTCTAAACACCGTAGGTCATTGTATGTGCTGTACATGTGTGTACTCCAGACAGACACCATCATCACGGAAGTTTGGTAACTATAAAATAACAAGTTTCCCTGTGAGTTCTAAGAAGAGACATTGAACTCATCTGTGATATTAGCTGTTTCTAAGAATTCATACCAGGTTGACTTAAAGTGCAGAGTATTACTCATTTCTCATGACTGTACGGAGTAACAAACAAACTTCCCTTTCTATTGACCCAACAGCGTGCTAAGCTAACATAAACATGCTTGAGAAATATGCTTAAAATAAGCACGGTCAAAGTCTTTGTGTACATACAGCAATAAATTTTCCATAATTAGTGATTACCATGCCATATTGCCCTGAATGTCACCTTTTAAACTTTTCAGTTGGGTAGTGCCTGTGTAAGAAATGAACACTGATTTGCTATAAATATGCATGACTCAACTTAACCACTCCCTGCAGGGGATTACGGATCCAAACATGTATGTTTTATATGCGTGGCCGGGGTCTCCAAACTCGGACAAAGGGAACAGGGAAAAGACCGTACTTGGAACAAAAGACCAGGCTGCTAGGAATTACTGACATTTTTTTCACTCTTAAAAGTGGAGATAATCCAGCCTTGTTTTGAAACAGTATACCATGGTTTGGGGCATTTAGAGCGAGTGAATTACCACTGGGGACAAAAGGAGCTCCACCACCGCAGCATTGAGCGACACAGGACCGCTGCAAGCTAATCTGGCCGCTATTGAAAAGAGGTCGGCAGCACACTGAGTCAGGTTCGTAAACAAAAGAAAGTTATATAACACTGCACAATCTGGGTTCTTTTTACAAGGCTGAAGGCCTGGCTGAAATACTCGGGCATCAATAGATTTTGTTTGTCAGGCTAGAGGGGCCACCAGAAAGTCCTTCATGTGTTTGTAAGTGTCCAGTAAATGAAGATAGTAATTTTTAAAGAATTTTGAAAACAGACAAAATGATAAATATCGTGGCCCAGCATCATCAACATTGATAACTGCCCCTGCAAGAAGTGGTTAAGAAGGTAAGTTGGAAGTTGCCAGAGCAAACTTTGAGTTAAAGACATTTCAAACATTCTTGCAATGGAAATCAGCAGAAATCCCGACCATTTTTCCCCTATCTAATGTCCACTTTTGTCAGGATATCAAACTGAGGTAACAAACCAGAACAAAAGGTTGGCGTGTAGTTTCTATTGCATACTAAAACAAACTTTCTGCAAAGTGGTCTTAGGACTCATTTTGGGGGATCCAGCCACATACGAAAGCAGGTGAAGTTGGATCCAATAATGAGAATGACATACGCAGCCGGTGGATAGACAAAGATGGGAATGGAGGAAGTCAGTATTTCCTCAGTGACACTTCCGACAAGAAGGCAAGCTGATGAACCTAACTATCATTAACAACAGCTGCTTGAGCTGAACCAATCAAAAATGATGTCTCACTCAAATGAACAATCTCAACAAATTAAAGAGCATGTTAGTTAAATCTGGAGTCTGGAGCAGGATCAACGATAGAGGATGAGACACAGCAAAACCTCACTGCAATCCCACATACACTAGCCATTATTAGTAAGAACTGAACTGTATTTGTCTTCAGAGTTGGTTAAAGGGAGAAGCGAATTTCAAAGTGAGACAGTAAGTTTTAGTGGCAAAACTACCCTTCAGACTGTGAGACTCTGAGGATAACTCATGACTTTACAGTGAATGTTCCAACAGTATTGAAGCAAAAGAGTGTAGTGTACTTGTGCCCCATTTCTGCTCTGTACATACACTCCCATGCAATCTTCTCCCAAACTTTTGTGCACATTCAAATGAAAATTAGTCGTGTTTGCTCTACATGTACATCAAAGGTGTACAAATTGGTGTGGGTAGGCTGGCACTGCATTTCTTCTGTAAGGAAACTAGACAGGATTTTGGGACTCTGGTGCATCCCAATTTTTGGTCTTCAACAGTAACTACATTGTAAGTTAGAATACATGAAGTCCTACAGAATAAGACAGTATCACAGAAAAACTTTCCTCCAAGTGGTTGTGATGAGTATGGTACACCCAGTCATCTATTCTCCCTATACTCTTCTTTCATGACCCCCCCTTCTCCCCATCCTGCTCAGGACATACCGTATGTGATGCCGCGGAGAGGACTGTACACTACTGACTGCTGGATTTGCCCCGTGGGGGATAATCGGTGTGGACGGTGAAGACGACGGGGCTCCATCACGACGATTTGAAAGCGCCCTCAGCTGCCGAGAGGCCTGACGAAGGTTTTGGTGATGGGTCAGTTGTATTCTGCAGAGAAGGGTGGCCACGGGCCAAAAGGAAAAAGGTAAGTAAAAAAGGTAACAAGCGAAACTGATACACTTTTTGTTAAAGGAGGTTTGTCAAATGATAAAAGTAAGAATTCATTCACAGGCGAGACTACTCAAAAATAAATGTCAAAAGCAGAGTTTTTTCTGACGTCACTTCTACCAACACATCAGAATCAATTTCCTATCAAATTTCTACAATAAAAACAAGAAGCTTGTTATACTTTTAGAGCACTCCGAAATGAGAATTTGTAAATTCCAAATCCTCTGGAATTCTTTCAAGTTCCAAATGCCACTGGCTTACATATGTTACAAGATTATTTAACCATCTAGTCCTCGACTATGTAAAAAATACTGGATAGAAAAGTTGAGGGTTTTGTCTGAAGTCCTTGATTATGTAAAAAATATAACCAAAGAGCTATTAAACACAAGGAGTTAGAATGAAGCTCCTACAGACTGTAATCCGATTAACTGCTCTGGTCGGCTCCACAGGCAAGGCGCGGTTACCTGCCCCAGTGCTGAAGACCCTTAGACATTCTTTGTACACAGTGATCGCCACCGCCAGGTAGCTGGTAACCCACATACTCCCCGTGTTTCACTGCGGCATACTGGAGTAAATAAAAGGTGGAAAAGATGCACGAAGAAGATGCATAGTTCTCTTCTGTAGTCGTCAGGTGTCAGCGAGCGATCCCCGCAGATGTGCTAGACAATTCTGAATCAGCGGGGGTTATTTGGCAAAAAGTCAGATGTTTTTAAAGTCAGTTATGACATTTTGCGGTTTTGGCGGTAGCGAACTAATACCTAAAATATGAACTGCAATATTTATATCATAAGTCGCAATCCTAGTGGTTCCTACGATTAAAAGGTAGAAACATATTACAGAAATGCATTTGACAACGTGACAAGGTTTCATGCCGAGAGAGTTGTGGACAAAGACAGAATGGACAACGCATTTCCGCATGTTTGTGTGTGTTTTTTATTTTGCTCTGGACCAGCTACATTCTTTCAGTTTTCTTGCGCGTATTTTTGGAGAATTTGTATCAGTTAGTAATTCTGTTAACTGTTAAGAGAGACGTTCTGGGGATGCAAAGATGTAACCAGACTTTCATTGTCATCGGAATATCAGAATATCGGAATATCAGAATTTAAGTCTCCAATGACGGGGGTTTCCATCTCAAGGTAGCCATGTTGAACATGTGGAAGTGTGACGGACACGCATGCGCGGTACCCACAATTCTTTGCAAATGCAACTCTGAGCATTCCTTGTAGCCTGCAAGCGGCGTGGAATTTGTTTTGTCCTTGCAGTACGTACAGTGCTGGAAGTGGCTATCATTGACCCTTTTGATCTCTGTATGTGCTGACTCCTTGTGTATAATAGCTCCATGATATAACCAAAGTTGGAGGATAGAAAAGTTGAGGGTTATTGTCTGAAGGGGTAAAATGTTAAATACAAACTGTATGTAAATATTGTGATAAAAGTTCTGTGTAAAATTAAGTATTCTGGAACAATGATAGTAAATTATCATGTGCGAAAACTGAGACAGACACAACCTTAAAACAGTAACTTATGGGGAAAAAAAATGGAGAAATACGACAACAAAAAAGAGAAACAAAAACTGAAGAGGAAACTGCACCTACATGAATGCACATGTTACAGTAAATTCAGAAAAATAAAGCCTTTTGCTCTTGGACAGAATGGAAGGGACTACCTCCAACGAAACAGATATTACATGGACTGTAAAAAAACAGAGACATTAGAGCAGGGAAGATCTTCATGATAAAATAATAAAAAGTGGAAACAGCATTAAAATGAGTTAGTAAGTCAAATTAATCATGTGCAACAAAAGTGACATGATAAATAAAACATGCACGCAACCACTTACTCAAAAGAAACACAAAACAAAACAGAACACAACAGAAACACAAACAAAAAACAACAACTGTGTGAAATGAAAAGGTTTTTTTTCATTATGCAAATCAAACAACTATTTATGCCAAAACAACGCCCCCTTTCAAAATGTTTCCAAATACTGACAGTATCTGGGGTACAAGGACTCTACTAGAAATCCTTGTAAAGTTACCAACAAAGTTGTTCCTCAACAGCCCCCAACCGTTCCAGTTATTCTCATTCTGACTTTAGAGATTATGGATAACAGACAGGAAATGCCCTTTTCAATCTGCCTTTCTGAAGCGACACGCCTAAATCTTGAAGTAGTTTATGAATTTCGGAAAACGGCTAATTCAGTCTTAGCAACAGCATTTCTGATATGCTGCAGTTCCTGAATGAAAAAAATGAAGAACAACAATCATTCCTACATCTGCCCTTAGACTGTTTAAATTGAAGAGAGTCATCCACGGAAAATTTCAAAGTCAAAGAAAAAAAAAAAGAACATCCGTGGTATTGATTGGACTCACATGACACTGATGTGTCATTTTCTTTGGGATGTTCAGATATAAAAACGGTACCAACAGACTCTCTAGTGGTTCTGATAATCCATGCAGACTAGAAAGATGCTGCTGAGTATTCAATTCAGTACTTCATGTTCATAATAATAATAATCACTACTTATGTAGCGCATATTAAGGAATGCCTCTATGAATTGTTGTAACTTAGTTCTTTTCCTTGCTTGTATATTCTGCATTTGTGAAACAATCTCTTCAAAAATCTCTGGGTTATGGGCTCTCATACAGGGGTCAGTCCTTAGACCTGTATTGTTCTCATTCTACACGGCGCTGGGACAAATTATTCAACAGCATGATACTTCCTATCACTGCTATGCAGATGACTCCCACAAAATTAGGCAATGGAATACCGAGAGGTCATTTGTTGAATTGTAAGTTCAACATTACTTTTGGTGAGGATTACATTCTATCGCTCCCCATCTCTCAATACATCTCACCAACCTTGTATCACAAGTAATTAATGCACTTTCATACATTTCTGTACAATCTGCTCTGATACAAAGCACCACTGTCAACCCTTTTAACCTGTAATTCTTTATCTGGTTTATCACTGCAGTCCTAACCCAAAGTGGTAATTTTTAACTTGTGGACATTCTTTTTCTTTATAAAATACAACCACATGTACTGCAAACATACGAGACACAGGCTGTGTCCAAATCAATTGGCAGTGGCTTGGAGTAGCACACATATCTATGGAAAGGGCTGTAGCCACTACCAAGTGGCTCCCATAGGGACATATGTTATCCTAAACCATAGCCAAGTAGATGCAGCCAAATAGAGGTTATGGATTGCTGGTATCTCCATGGTGTCTCAGAGGCTGTTTTTGTTATTTTAATTTAGTTACAATGAATCACAAAAAATGGAAAGCCTGACTTTTCGATCCTGGTAGAATCGTTCTCAAGGCCTTTGAGAAAGATTATATTTCTAGATTCTGCTAGCATCGAAATGTCAGGCCTCCATATTTTGTGAATTGTAGTTTAGGTCCCTATAGTCAGCAAGCAGTTTGCAGCAGTTTTTGGATTACACATCTCTAGTTACAATGAATGCACAAAAGATTCACTCGAGCCTACACGTCTTGTCTGAGGTAATCTTAGCTCTGATACAGTGGGCAAAATGTAATGAGGGGAGAACAGTCGAAGGTCTACTTTCATACAAATTCTACCAAAAAGGAGAGGAAATAAGACATGCAAGAATTGCGCAGAATCGTCGCATACAAACCTGAAGAAGGTCAATCTGTGAGAATGTGCAAGGGAGGAAAGAGTCAAAGAATCAGTGGAATAGGGTGAAAGAATGGATTGCAGTGACCAACAATCAAGGCTGGTGGAGTGATAGACCAAATAGAAGAGATTAAATGAGGCTTAAAAGGCATGAGAAAATGATTAGTGATGTTTTGATCGGTGCACCACAAGAGCTTCTGTGTTTAATACTCCAGCAAGAGACCATTTGAAGATGAAGCATGTGACTGTGATCCTTTCAGTGCATCATACATCACAGAGGAAGTCTAAATGAAAGTCTTCTTCTACTTTTAGACATTACATTTCAGTTCTGACTCAAAGGAATAAGTTCGTAATAGAAAACAAAAATCGTGCTTAACTTCCCATTTATAAATTAGTTTTCAAACTTTGAATCTTTTCGGGATATGATTATCTTATAACAGAGGCTAGCGAAAGCTTAGACAGAATTGATTTTGTGTGCAGTTGGAAATATGTTCCTACTTCAAACAAATGTTCAGTGGAAACACAATATTTCTAGTGAAATCATCCTGCAGCCCCCCAAACGAAGTTCTGTATCAAACTTTAACCAACTCTGGCCAACTTCAACCCAAGAAATCAGAGCAGATTCTAGCCCTCTTGGACAGAAAATCCTTGTGATTCAGCATCAGCAGCCACTGACAACACATGTACATGTATGTCATGACAGACTCCAGCACCTTGACTCACACAAAATGCACTTGGCAAAAAGCAAACACCTGTTGACAGATGAAGTTGTCAGAAAGGCCAAAGAGATCGTTTGCAATTACTCAGAAACCCACTGGTGCCAACTTAATTACTGATCAAACAGTGCTCAATGGTAAGGTTGGGATGGTACCAAGTGATTCTTGTTTAGCAATGTTGTCATTCATGAGAACACTGTGGATCATTCTATGACCACACCCAAGATGTCCTCAGGTTCAGTGTCCAATTATGTCTGATGTCCCATGTGGGAATAAAATATGAATCTGATTTTGTACTGCTGGGACAAACTTTTCCATTAGGTGCTTTCTCAGCTTGTCAATGCCGTGACTGTTTCAATTTCCAAGAAGAGAATGCCATTATTCTTCACAGTCTCTGTAAAAAGTAAATCCAGCAAGTGAAAAAGAAACACATTTGGGCTTTCAGGTACTAAGGTCAATTTTTTTATGAGTAAAGTTAAGGGAATGGAAATGACTGCACTAGTCAGTAAGTAACTGATCCCATTACCAGGACATACATGTCGCTTTTTGTCCGGATTCCAATGAACGGGTTGAAAAGACTACTTACAAAAAAAGGACCAACAATTTCAATATGTGACGGTGGATATTAAGAGATTGTACTTGTTTAAGAAATTAGTGATTTGGCAGAATGTTAAAATAGAGCAATGGAAATACATGTACATGTACTTTTAAATGTCCGAGACTAAAACTATTATGAAAACAATACGATGTTTGGAAATGCTAATAAATGCAATGATGGCAATGTTTATTATTTATAAAAAATCAAGAAAGAAAAATCAAGAAGTAAAAAAAAATCAAGAAAACCTACATGTACAGCCCAAAACAAAAAGATCTGTGTATTTTATTAAAACCCTCATTTGGTTTTACAGCACAAATATACACAAGTGCCCAAGGTCACTCTCTTGCATGTTGGTGCAGTGCACAACACAACACAGCTGTGCTTCTTTGAAGTGTTTACCAAGTGACCCAAAGAGTGACTTCAGCATAGGAGGGTTAACAAAATCAAATTTGTTTCAAATCTACAGCAAAAACGTTTGTAAAATTATACAGGATTTCTATATAATTTCAGACCCTGTAAAACAGTACAAACACATGTGTAAGCACTTGGAACAATTCCAAGTTTCTTTTTTGCTTTTGTATGCTCCCCACATAGACATAGCTTCTGCCGCACTGCACAGTCCTCCAGTTTCCTCAAATCATCAAATCTATTTAGCTTTAATAGAATGGACAGCAGAAGGTCATGATGTTGTAAAAATGTTTCCGATTGTTATCAAATTGCTGGGACTGACACAAGCAGTCATAATGTCAATGAACTTTTCAAAGTCACAACAAGAAGTTGTGATGTTTTCAAGGGCCAGTTCAAGTTACGAAGGGTCCAAGTATTAGGCCAGTTTCTAGTTGTTTGTTATCAGGAAAAAGAGGGAAAAGATGACAGCAATCATCTGCCTGAAGCAAAAAAGTCACTGTAATGCATGATGCTAAACCAACATCTAAAGCTCACTATCCGCACATGATTTATGGCAATGCATAAATTAATTTTAACGCTGTCCTCCCAAGATAGATTGAAACTATAAATTTGGTAAAGGCTAGCAGGGGACCAGTGCAAATGTCACAGCAAAGAGGATATCTAATAAGGACATATGTTTCCTGCGCCAGGATGTGGTCATGGCAACGTGAGTGATGGATGGACGCTGGTGACCCATTGAACAATACAACAGAGGGCGCTGTTCATCTGTAGCAGTCACGCAGTCTAAAAAAATTATCAAGGCAACCACAGAAACTCCTGCCAATTGAAACTGTTTCACTGTGGCATTTCTGCATCAATGAATCTTTCATGCAGACTGATGCCCTTTCTTATTTCTAGGGTGCTATCTGCACACTTGATTCATGAAAATCAAAGTTGAAAAACTGACCAGTCAGTTTAAAGCTGCTGTCATTCAAGATTACGACTATGGGATATACATGTTGTTATGGGCACAGGCCACATCTTTCTCCCTGAGGTGACTCTGGAAACATTAACTCTCACCCAATTTAGAGTTGTGCAAAACGGTGACGGGTATTGGTGAAAAAAGGAGTGAAGTAACCCTTCACAACTGTTAAATGGTACTACGTCAATGCCATAGCGTTCACAGGAAACAAGTCATACCGAACTTTAGTCCATGCTAAATGTACATGACAATGGATTCACACCAGAATGAGGCCAGGTAGAAAGAAACATCCAGAAATGCTGCTTGGGGCCAATTTAACATAAAAATTATGATGGGGGAGGGAATTTATTTCAGACTTCTGTTTGCTTCGTTTAAAAAAAAAATGAACTGGACATTAATCAATATGGGCAAATAATATGATAGACCGGTTGCAGGTCAAACACGAATAAATTGAAAATGAGTAAGTTTTAGAGTTGAAGTTTATGAGTAAACACTTGAGTATCAGTTAACCAATCAGACATGGACAAATGAAAACAGAAATTAGTTTCAAGCAATTACCACGAGGAAGTACTTACTCAGGAGTTCTTGCAATATGTTTGCTGTTAGGGAAAATAAGAGAGATGAAACTGTGAATAATAGGAAAAAGAGAGTTCAAGACAAACAGTGACTTTGATGCAGTAAGTCTGGTAAGTTTTGGTAACCGATATACAACAAAACTGGGGCATTTGAATTTAAGACTGGGAATTCAAAATAAGTGTTTTTTCAGGATGATGTGCCTTCACAGTTGAATGGATGATACAGCATCAAAACACCTCACTTGGGGACAAAAGCAATGAGCACCTGTAGAGTGAGATAATGTGCTTTGAAACAGAGTAACCAACCAATAAACAATCAATTAATTTACATCGGTACTCTCAGCTAGTGTTCTTTGAGCAACACAGATTTAGCAACCTAGGTTTCAAGGCCATGAATTTAACTCTGGCAAGTGATACTTACGAACTACCCCTGAAGCTACACATCAGGACGCCCAGCACAATGACAAAGATCAATGCCACGGCCAGCGGCGGAATGACAATCAGCAGAAATTCTACCAGGTGATTGGGCGGCTCGTTGGTCAGCGCTGGAGGATGGTACTCACCGCCCAGGGTGACCGGCTTGGCGCCTGAAGGTGTGTTCAGCTGGGATGACCTGTTTGCTTGGGTCTGAAAAGAAACACAGACAGTAGCCTTGATGGCTGACTTGCATCAACGTCACTTGCATGACCTTGTCTGGGGACAGTCTGGGAGGCAAAGATAGATGACCCCTGATGACATACATGTAAACTGACCGGATCATGACACAGGCATCCTATTGTCATACAAGTTTGTGTGGATGTACGTGCTGGTGAGTAGTTCTAAGGTAACTAATATTTAGCCTAACAATGTCCATGCTTGACCTATGACATGCTCCAGTTATCTTTACTCATCTCCTTATTTCATAACATACTCCGTTTGAAAGGTCGAAAGTAGATTCATTTACTTATCAGAAATCAACATTTAGTTAAAAATCAAACATCTCAACCCAAGACAACTATTGGATTACTAAAAACATACTAAAAAGATGGAATGCTTCTAAGTAACCAATGCGTGAAGATGCACTTGCACGCCCTGTGCCACGTATTGAAAAGCTTCCCATGGGTCTATAACACCAACTTAACTTATAACACCAAATTTATGTACCCAACATACAACAAAACATGGACAAATCTTTACAGAAGTAAATGTTATGGACATTATGGCAAAGCAGCACTTAGACTACATCAAAATACAAGTCTCTCTCAACTGACATCACTTCCTACAGACTGTCAAATGCACTGGCATTTTCAGTGTCAAATTTTCATGATGTACATTGGCTACATGTATGCCATACATGAAAGAAATTTCAAGCAATGTGTGCATTCAGAACATTTTGTAAATTGTGCGGATTGGTGTCATTATACATAAACGTGTCGTTTTTGTTTATGAGAGGGATCTATGAGGGGAAAGAGCTATGTGCATATAAGTCCAGATCTTTGCCAGTTGCAAATACATCTTTGCCAGTTGCAAATACATCTTTGCCAGTTGCAAATACATCTTTGCCAGTTGCAAATACATGTGTAAGGCACAGACTTGCACGTTCCAACCTCCAAACAAATCTAGTTCAACTTGTGACCTTTCATGGATAACACTGTCAACAACTTAACCTCTTGACCTTTCACGGTTGGATTCTGTTTGCTATTTGCATACCAGTTCTAAGCGGCACCAGTCAACCGCAAATGTCGGCGGGAAAACACTGCCCAGTTTCAACGGCACGTACGCTCCATTGACGCAGTTGCTGGTTGCCTCTGCGTTCACTCCCAGTAGCTCTGGGGAAAAGGGCGTTGTCGAGCCAATGGTCACGTAGACACTGATGAAGAAAAGAAATTGAATGAACACAAAGCTGGTGCATATAAAAAAGCTGAGGGTTAAGGAAATAAAACAGTGAGCGGTGACAAGTGAACAAGGATGGGGAGCAAACTTCACAAGACTTCTCTTTGCCTAGCAGGGGGATATTTCATAGGCATTTAAAATTTATGTTGATTTCCATTGTTTCTGGATCATTTCCTGCAAGTTCTACCTCTGAAGTTTGCATGCTCTCAGATGCACTTAGAACCAAGAAGAGGCTGCTGATTCTTTGAGAATTAGATAGGTATTTACATAAAGGTTGTGAAGGAATTTGTTGTTCACAAAGTGACACATAAGCTGTGAAGTTAATCAGTAATGATGTACAGAATGTATACCAGCAATTTCCTTTTATATTAACAGAATTTGCACGGAAATGGAAGGCACAGATTTCTTGTACTGGTGCTTTGAGGCAGGAACCAGCAAATTGTTCAATTTCCTGACACTAAAAATAGCTATAAAAATAACTATAAAACATGTAATCTCTCACTTCAACACCTAATCCATACATTTGGGCTTAAAAAATTTAATACAAAAGGATGTGGTTGCTCACTGTACTTTATGAATCTCGTCAGATTAAGGCCACACATGCAAGAAATCAATTCAACCTCCCCCTCTCATCAAAAGGAGGTACAGGAGAATAAAGTCTAATACCAGTCAGCCATATTGCTCCCCTGACAATCTTCAAGACTTGAAGACTGTCGATGTTTGATATGCTAAGACAAGATGGTCCCCATGCCATCTACTTGAACCTTCGACCATCTCCCCCCCCCACCTCGCTGCGGATAATGTGTCATTCCTGCCAAAGGGAACAGGATGTTCCTGCGGATTAGTTCCTTCCTAGTTGCAGGTAGATGGTGTTACGGATCGGCTGGCAAAGCGCCCCTGGATTTGGCTTATTTTCAATGGGAAACCTCAAGGCATGCACAGAGCTATCCGAATACATCCCTGACCTCATGTGCAGACTGCTCGCCAAATATAAACCAATACACTGCGAAACATGCCACTACATGGATAAAAATAAGTGACATACAAAGCAACCAAACATAAATTTGACAAGTAGAAGACTCTCCCAAGTTTGCCTCTTTACTCCTCTACAATTTTTACATGTACTTCAACTTCTAGTTTTATCCCAGGGCACAAAAGTTCCTTGCTTGTTCACCACCTGCAATTTCTTCTAAGGAGTCTCATCGTAACATACATGTACATGTACCCTCTTTCCCCAAAGCTTTTTTCTTTCCTTAGAATTGTCCCCGAACCTAAAAAATCCCCATGGAATGCAACAGTTGCTAAGCTATATCTTCCACAGTCGTGTAAAATTTAAAAAAATTTTCTGGTTTATTTAGAAAGATCTGAGGGTCAGGCTTAGTGATTCAGGATTTGCTATTCGGCCAATGTCATGAAGAACTTAGCCTTGCACGTTAACACCAACTTCATTGAAGAGTGCACCACAAAACAGGAATCCTTGCTCAGCAAAATGTAACCCATTCAAATAGAGTGAATCTGAAGTCAACATAGCCATGTTGGAGTTCCAGACGCAACTTAAAATCCAAGTACCTTTGGGTCATTAGTTTCATGAAAATCTACACGGACCTTAGCCCCAACTTTTTTTTACTAGTGGGTGCTAGGTACCTGTACAAATGCCAGACAAGCCAGGACTGAACAGTTTCAGGACCTGTTTCCCATGACTCACCCCTCCTTCCCTGGCGTGGGGTTTCCAAGCTCAATCGAGTCGGATGGTGGCCTCAACCTGTGGATGACCAGGGGCGTCTGCGTGGACCAGACCAAACCTGACCTATTGAGGAAGTCTCGTTGGCGGATTGCTGAGAGCATGTCGCCAACATTTTGGTTGCTGAGGAAGAACGTAGCAAGGTACTTTGGAGTATCTGTGGAAATGTAAAAAAAATCTGTATTTTGCAATACACTGATGGGATCATTTCTTGAAAGCCAAATTTCTGAAAATTGATATTTTCCTCAAAAAAAAAAAAAATAGGTACTGGTATAATCACATTTTCCTATATTGGTGGGTGTGGGAAAAGGTCATACACTGACCTTTCTTAATACCAGTGACATTTGTAAGCAGATGTTATTATTAGACTATGAATAAGGTACTGTATCTCTGCAAGGCTTTGCAAGTACCGGTACTAACAACCCAAGCCAAGGTTCTTTCAGTGGTGATCAGTGGCAATGTGTCATCTAAACACAGCATTTCAAGAACATGAAACTTAAAGGAGATAACTAAATAGACTTGGCCAAGAAAATAAAGTGAATACTTTCAATTGGCAGTTGGCCAAAACAATCCAAAATCTCTTTCAAAACCAATGATTAATATTCAAATAGTGCCAAGTTTGACAACAAAAGAACTATTTCAATCTCTTTTCCCTTTTTTCACCCTTATCTGTCTCAACCTGTTCACATTTCCTGCCTGTGAAGAACCTCAATTGGATTTCTCATTGCTTTGGTCATCAGAGCTCTCCCGCTTTTCTCAGAAACATTTCTAAAGAGTGAACTTTTCGACTTAACAAAACCGTCTTCATTCTTCCTGATGTTATTAAGATAATATATGACCAGCTCACGTCGTACTATTCCCTTCCGTTGCTTGGGTTCACAGAAGTTCTTGACCTCTTATCAGAAGGTCTGAGCTTTCCTACATACCAAAATATATCCTAACCTAATTTTCTATTTCAGTTAATGTTTAAGACTCTTCCAAAATAACCGTAAGAAATACTGCAAACTCTTTAAAATGGGAAATTTCTTGGGCCTGTGGAATAGAAGTTCTTTAAAAGCAAATCACAACAGGGAAGGTAGCATCATAATATACACAGCATGTAATGAAAACTTGGATAATGTAAGGTTGTTGCCTGCTGTCAATCATGAGGTCAGGGTTCCAGTCTGCAGAATCATATTCCTTGTGTCCCCAGGCAAGAGACTTTGCCACAATAGCATCATTGCAACTTGGAAGAAACATTATGTGGGCAGAGTTGGTTACTTTCATGTTGATAACAGACCAGGTATGATAAAAGGACTTGAATAGCTATTTTTGCCAAGTGTGCGGAATTAGAAGTGCAATACCGCTTTTTCTAAAACGTGGTTCTTGATAAGAAATTTAATATCTATAATGTCATACAAAAGACCTTTACAAAATGGCTCACGTACAAAAATACTATGATCACATATATGTATATTTAGTATACGTGTATGTCTGTGGACACTTGAAATTAGTGTAAATTTCAAGTGATATTAGAATCATAATCATATTGATAAAACTGTGAGAACATGAATGATAAAAGTGGTATGTCTGATTGCTGTGGTTCCACTATTCATTTTGGGTCTAATGAGTTGACTGCACTTTTGAAGGCAGAAGCTATCACAATCCTGGTACATGTAATTTAGTTTTAAAATTTCCGCTCCAAGGTTGAAAATGAATAGTCCAGGAAATCATGGCAGACAGAAGGGTTCAAGAACCAATCAACAGATGGGTAATCACAGGACACTTCAATGCCACCCGTTGACAGGCTAACTTGGTGTCTGGACTAACCAGGTGGATCAAGAAGTCTGGCCACTTGACCACTGGGTGAGAGTGAATGGTCAGTCTTCAGGAACCCACGCCATAATCACATGAGCCTCACCTAAGCCCTGTGGGTTCTTCCAAATTGCCAGCTTTTGACGGCATTTCTTTAAAAGCCCTGTGTGGCTGTTGGTTCTTGTTTGAGCTCAGCAAGATGAGCTATTGGTTTCCCCTGAGGGCCTGCCTTCCTGTTATCGTCTACATATGTCTTACTTTGCCTTGGGGTTTTGGAGTAAGGGAGGACAAGACTAATATTTAAGAAAACTTGTTTTTTGGAAAGCTCTCTGGGATGTTTATGTCTGTTCTGTGCTTAAGGCGGATACAGTGGGTGTTCAAGACCTTTAGTCTGAAGATTTCAACAAGCTGCAGGCTGAGAGCAACATACAGGCCTTGGGTAGTAAGGAAGAACATTTAAGTGAGAATGCACCAACCAGCGATTACAGTAATCTTTGCTGAAGACTCCTCTGTGACCGATTCTCATTTTCCTGGTTCAGACTTCAGACTAATGAAGTCACACGGGAGTGGAATCTTCACATTTGACTTTTTTAGAGTATAGGTCACAAAACTCTTGTGGGTTTAAGATCCAGATTACCACCACTAAGCAGGAGACGTCTTTTGGCTGACGGAATAAATATGAACCATGTTGACTTTGATTTGGCTACTTCCTCTGAATGTTGTTACATGCGATCAGATGGAGGACACATGGTGAAGCAAACCTTCAGACGCTGGATGAGCTCAACTATCTGTATATTTCTATTGGAACAGTTTGCTTTGGTGAGGCATCTGAGTTCGCTGCTTAAATTATTGAGAATCAAATAACTACCGGTGCAGTTGACTGGAATGGTGTGAGGGGATTCCTGTTGGATAATAGAAGTCTTTCACCAGTCTGAGACAAACTGCTGTGTTTGTCACAGTTAATGCATGAAGAATAAAATCTGATTGGTTGCTGCCCTGGGTAATGATACAGCTGTAGGTTGTTGACAGTGCCTACCAATCAATGGAGCTCTGACACAGGAAATTGAAGAACAGCATAAAAGTTGGCAGCTCCCTTGTCAGATTTAAAATAAGTGCTAAGGATCATTGGGCTTAAGTACCTGTCGGAATGTTCAATCTCCAGTCACTGACTCACCTTGTCACTGCACATTAGCTGCTCATGCTTTGTTAACATCATTCACACTTATTGGAAAGATGGGTGTGACTCAAGACAAAACTGCTACAACATGTCCTAATGGGATGCAAACCCCTGTCTTCACTGATGGGTAAGTGGTCTTACAATGTACTATCCACTCACAGCTACATGTACTTAATATAGCCTTCATTTTGCCATCTTCATCAAGCTAATTCTTGGACTCCAGGCCTCTTTTTTGCAGCTTGAGTCATAAGTGCTTTAAACTCACTTCCAAAAACACACAATCTGTGTTCATGGGAGTTACTGAGTATGGAAATAATTTATCAGCTGTGTTGTAGCTTTTCAGTTTCTTACAAGAACAAAAATATAAGGCAACAGAAATTATGATTGAGCACACACACATAGAAAACCAAGTACCACTTCACCCTTGGTTTTAAATATGAATATTTATTTTGATTGAGTTTGGTATGAGTAGAGAGAAAAATGAAGGCAGGCAGATTAAAGGCTGCTGAGACTTTCTGCCTGATGATGTTAAAAATGACAATAGGGAAACCCAACTTGCCGACAGATGGTTGCAACAGGCTGGTATCTACCAAGATAGAAAATCTTACATGGATAGTACATGTAAGGGGTCATCCATTTTTGTCAACACTTTCACCAGCGCACAAACCGCATGCTGGGGGAGGGGATGAATTGGTTGCGTACGCTTTAGAAACATGTTAAAAATGATGATTATCAAAGACCGGCCAACTATCACCCTCAACTATTGCACTTGTGCAGACAGTGCACAGGACTCTGATGCATCATTTATACAAGTTGGGACAATGGCTGTTTCTTAACCACTCGATGATTTTGCATGGTGTCATATAATTATGAAAAAAGTACACACAGAAGTACCAGGCAAAATTCACTAACGTTGAAATCACAGCCCTGTGTGATAGTCTTTGAGCAGCTTCCCCCAAAGCTCTGCTGCACCGTGCGTGCAATGAGGTTTGGAACCCAGACACAGGTGTATTTTACAGTTTATTTATGTACGCATTTTCCCTTGTGTGGAAAGGTGCCCTGCTAAATGCGTGCTTAATACACACAAGTTTGTACATATACATAACGATAAGTAACATAGCTGTATACTTTTACCACTTTTTATAAGCTTTTGTGAAGGGAAAAAATCAAATCAAATCAAAGATACATTTGCTGACTGCTATTTTTGGCCACAAAAAATGGACACTTTTATTTTAAGAAAAAAGAACCTGTACATCGGGCAATTTGTCCTTAATTTTACTTGCCCGAACTGAAAAAAGAAATTTATCCCTGGCAATCTGAAAACTGTGAATGTGGAGACCTGTCATGGACATTGTTTTTCCTCCTGCCAATACTCTCTGGTCGTCTACTGCACATTAACAGCCTTACATTGTGAGTTACAATGGGTCCTCTGGCACCACAGAGAAATCATCATTTTATTTTGTCCTCTTTTAGAGGGGGGAAGGGGGCCAGGAAAAACAGTACACTTTGTACGCATGTGAAAATGACGACAAAAATGGATGACCCCTAAGACCACTTACCCATCTGTGAAGATAGGGGTTTCCATCCCACCAGGGCTGGTATCTACCAAGCACATGTACTTTCCATCCTCAGTTCCACTCGGGGCCAGAATATCTAGTAGATTTAGTGGGCACAGTACATTAAGCACTTGTGCCTAGTGGTTAGAAAATGTGGGACCTTCGAAAGTACCAGGGTGCCATAAGACACACAGTTTTTGGTGTCAAATGTTTCAGCATCTACCGGTATTATATATAACGGGTTTGCCCTTACCCAACGTATATTAATAAGCACTGTATGCTCAGTGCTTGTCCGAGAGCTTGCGAAAAACTTCACAAGCTTACTCCGGTGGGACTCGAGCCCGCGACCTCCTGCTTACTAGTGCAGATGTCTTAACCACTCGACCACAGAGCTTGCCGGGGTCGGCTGGCCAGTCCGAGTCAATGAAGCAGCAGGTACCACGAACTATTTTCAAGATGCATTTTTGCGTTGGGGAGATGTTAATCATATATAACGGGTTTGCCCTTACCCAACGTATATTAATAAGCACTGTCTGCTCAGTGCTTGTCCGAGAGCTTGCGAAAAACTTCACAAGCTTACTCGGGTGGGACTCGAACCCACAACCTCCTGCTTACTAGTGCAGATGTCTTAACCACTCGACCACCGGTATCTTAGAATTTTCAATATCTGGAAAGCTGAAAAGTACATGCAGCTTATGCACGCTTGGCAAAGCCTACACCATCAACAGGAAATCTGAGTCCCCAGTGCTTTAACAGTGCTATGATTCTGATCCGGTGCCTTGGGCGCAGAAGTTCTTAGGGTCTACCAAAAATGCTTCTTCAGGCCCTGGCTACATTGAATTTATTCCTCTCCGACAATTCAGTTTACAACATTTGGATGGTATCGGGAGGGCACAACTCAGCCACTGTTACTTCACATTAGATAATGTCCCCATTTTTTTCACGAACAAAGAATAGGACATTGGCTTTCTGCATACTGTTGGATTTTGGATTATTCAGGACAGCATCTAGCAAACATTTGAAGGGAATATGAGTAAACAATTTAAGTTTTAGATTTGAACTAATTCCTAAGGTTACTGGAACATGTACTCAGAAAAAAAGCATTAATTATAAGATGCATGTACAGAAGTACCATGCATGGGGGTCAGGGTTCGCTTGGTAACCAAAAAGGCCATCCATACAGGTATGACCTGCATACCTGAGTGGTAAGTTACTGATATCGGCACCTTGACACGAGCAGACTGGTAGGTGTCTGTGTTCAGGGCTATGATCTGTCAAGACAAAAGGACAGATAAAAATCATGAATCACTCAAAAGTAATGTAGATAATAGACAGTTTATCAAATAATGCACAACTGCGGGTAATTTCATGAAATATTGATCTGGATGACTGTTAAGCTGATACCGGCAAACACAGCTTTGGTAAAGTACCAGGATTGGATCATTTTCCATATTCAATTTGCTGCAAATAAGCAAAGCTTTAATTCATGACAAACGTTGCTTTGTGACAGCATGGATTGTGATTATACTCTTCCCAAAGCTCCAAAATAGTCTGTGCTTCCTGCAGAGGCGATGGGCAAAGTTGTATGAAGGTCTGGTCACCTTCAAAGAAAAGCACTGAAGTGCATTATGTACAAGTTTGCCTCTACTGAAGAGAAGATATGCCAGTCTACCAAGCTGCTTGAAAAATAGCTGGAAGTTTGCCACGTAAGGAATAAGGTTTAGTGGAGTAAGCTTCAAACTCAGAAGACCAATTCCCCACTCTCTGTTTTTGAAAATAAAATCTGGTGCAAGATTTGGCTCTAAGACAATAACAAATTCTTGTGACATGAGACAATATACACTCTTCCAGAATGTAAGTAAACAAGCCCCACACTGTCAAATGTTATTGCAACAATTTATACTTTTTTTTAATCAAACAATCATTTTCCAAATAAGCCTTCTTAAAGTAGCATGTACCCAGTTACATTTCAACAATAATCTGAAACTCCAAGAAAAATCCCATATTGTAAGAAACAAACCACAACACACATGCCCACACTCACACTTACCTTACAGTGTATGTACATCTACTTATTGTGGACATTCCTTTCTTTCTGTGCAGTTAAGAAAACTCAGTGAAAATATTCATTTTTCTTAGAACTGGGAACATGATTTTCAGCTGGCTTTTTGTACAAGGTTTCCTTGCCTATTCCTCTTCCGACAGATGACCCCTACCCCAAAAGGCCTCTAAACCCCTTTTTCAGAGAAGGGGAAATGTCCGTTCCACAGAATGTCTTCCTTTCCTGCATTGTGTGGACATCTTTTGTTCACAAGTCCACACTAGGTATACAAGGTTAGCGCGCACACACACACNCCCTCTGTCAATCGGGGACCTTATTGTCCTCTATTGTTCAGGGTTCCCAATTGAATGCAGAAACAAACTCACCCACACACAAGTGTGTATTTGCCTGCAATTGGGGACCCTCTATTGTTCCACTTTTGTCCATACTTAAACTTTTATGGAAGATCTCCCTTACTGTATGTCTTGTACACAGTTGTCAATCGGGGACCCTCTGTCAATCAGGGACCTTATTGTCCTCAATTGTTCAGGGTCCCCAATTGAATGCAAAACAAACTCAACGCTATCGCACCCTACATTATGTGGACTTCTTTTGCGCAGAGGTCCACACTATGTATGCCATGCCTGCACACACAAACCGAAACACACACAGACGTCTCCACAAGAAATGATGACATCATCTGTCCAAAACCAGTCCCTGCCAATCACACAAAGAGGCCAAGACAATGTTGGACATTTCAACCCTGAGGGTTTCAAACAAGCATCTGACTCTCGTCCCCTGAGGACAGACACCGAAGCATAAGACAGAGTAGTACAGATGTCATCTGGCCTTTCTCCTTGAGTCTTGTGACTTGAAAGGGAAATTGCAAAGGACAGCTGTGGAGGGTCAGGGAACTACTTAGATCCTCCACTCTTCCTCTCATTCTGTTTCTATGGACTGCTACTACCGGAAATTTGCCAAAGAAACAACGTCATAAGACCTGAACATCTGCCAGCTTGTGGAGTTCAAAAAGAAAGGACATCCCCAAATCCGTTTCTGTCACAATTAACATAGAGACATACAATTTCACATGCAAGAGAGTGAGTAGTCTTGAAGTGACCTTCAGAAACTACATATTCCCCTGTACCATTAAAAAATTGCTCAATGAAGGTTTTTTGTGAAATCTTGAGGACATTTGTTTTTACATGTATGTGAAGTTCTTAGAAGTAATTTATTGGTAGAATTAAATAAGAGGCCTCATCTTTTTTCTGCAGAAAATAAACAGACATGTCTGCTATAAACAACCCCCCACAAAAAATCATATTATGCCCCCCAAAACTTGCCACCAAAAACATTGTACTTCAATGTCTGATGTTAAATTTGGTTAAAACATCAATAAATAAAAACTTTTGTGTCATGTGAGCACTCACCATACCTCAAGAGTGATGTCGCCAATATTATCTGTATCAGGTGTGCCATACATGTAGGCCTGACGGGTAGGGTCTGTCTGGATATATCTCAACCACTCAGGAAGGCCTGGTTTGCCAATAAGGGAGGGCTTGTAGATAAGTGGGCCGGGCTGGTTGGGCCCTGAAATGTCATGGGTCAGGATAAGAGAATTGTTAGTGTTGTAAATGTCATTAGGATTGTTGACATAAATTGACCATTTCAAAAACATGTTGTAATGTGAGTGTACATAACTACAAACAGAACTGTTTAGATTGAACCACAGACTATGCAAGCAAGTATTGTTGTCTTCAACACTTCAGTAAACACAGTCACATCATAAGTTCTCTTACAATGGGAAGGACTTTCCTTGAGAACAATCTAGGTAAAAGTTTGGCTTCCTTTTTAAAACGAGAACGTGGGAGGAAGTATGACTGTGCTTGATTCAGAACTAGCAGGTGTTCTGAGTGCTAAGGCCACTGCCTGTTCAACATCAAATGCTTTCTCACAGGCATTTCAGCAGCCTTAGTTGAATCATTTTGCAAACCCCAATTGTCATTCCCATGTTGCCATTGGCTGTAACTTTCACAACATATATGTACATGGTCAGTGACTTCTTTTTACGATTTTTATTTTCAATGGTTCACTCTGTACTGTTCACTCTGTATTGGACAATTCCAATTAAATCAGAACAGTTGGCAGGTATCTCTGTCCTGGGACGCCATGTTTGCAGGAAAATTACAACTGCGAATTCAAAATTATCAGGTGTGAGTGCTCCTAATGTGTAAAATGTTCTTTAATACACAAAAGCGCATTGATCCAATTGCCTTGGGAAATATGGCACTGCACATCCAAAATGCCAATGCAAATGGCAACGCACAGGAAGTGATGTCATATGAGAGACCTACATGAACATGTACACATTTAACCAAAACACATAGAGCCATGTTGTCCACTATCAAATGCTATCCTGGATCAGAATATTTAGGCAGTTTTCTATAAAAAGCATTGTAGTCTGGTACGGTAGTTGCAAGTGATGTTTCAAAATCCTGGAGTACATTCTGGGCGCCTAGATGTATACAAAATGCAGCCTACCGGTACCTTAAATCCATTGTATGTATTGTCTGAAGTATTCTCTAGACTTTTTCACACAAGAGGCCACTTTATTAAGATCATTGGCGTGAAAGTGAGTCAAATTCCCCCGAGGTGTGGGGATGATGGGGGGGGGATGAGTAAAGATCTTGTATTTTAGACCTCCAACATGCCCAGGGTTTTTCCCACTGGTCATCTGCTGGCCTGCTAACCATCAGCAATCGGTATTTAGTCACTCTCTCATGGTCACCAGGGGGAATCGGTTGATGAAATGGGAACAAATGAAGACAAAAAGATGCAAACTGTTAAAGACTTTAGTTCCTATCTAGAGGAATGGAGATATTGCATGGTGGAGAAAGTATGAAGGGAAGCGAGTGACGAGGAAATTAATTTCACCTGTGATGGTGCACTTGAGGAAACATTTCCTTGCAATTTTGCGGTAACTCAACACGGCTACTGCCAAAATGTAAGCAATGTGGGATGCAGTCTAAAATTTAAAAGTGGGGAAGTAATTTAGCTTGAAGGAATTCGCCTTACAAAAATTGAAAACGAACTCAATTTTGTGGGAATGTTTCCCCCTCCCCTTTAGTCATGCCCTCCTTCTGGTTCATCCTAGGATAGTAACCACGCTTGACCCAATAATGCTAAATCTGGTGATATTCAATATCTATAGGATCTTGTTCACCAGGCCATGACAGGTCTCTTGTCCCTGCAGAAGATTTCTATTGGATTGCTGTGTTTTGATCCAACTGATTCAGGACATTTCTTGGAAAACAAATGTGAAAAGACTTCAGGATAAGAGGTAAATAGTATCTGCAGGTTCAGAATCAACAGAGCATTAGAATATTTACCCAAGGAGAACGGTCCGAAGAAGTTTTCTTTCTCAAAGACATACTGGAAGTTGATGCCGACTGTTGCCTCTTCGCCCCTTGACAGAGAGATGGCAGACACAAAAGCTGTGGTAAAAAGGGAACAAAAGGATACAATACAATTGTTCAACTAGGTCTTTTCAGTCATAATATTTAATTTCATATTGTCCACATTTTTAAATGTATGCTGTTGAGGGAACAACTTTTAGGGCAAGTTACTGGATGTCCATTGTTTGGGAAAAAAGTCCGGGAAGTATTCTCTGAGCTAGCAATACTCAGTTCAAGCCAAGCTGGAGCAGGTTTCAGATGCACTACGTGAAGTGACTAAGTCTAAAACAGATGTTTTATCCAGTTGAAACACTTTCTAATGCTCTGTACCTAGTGTCAGAAACGGCACCATGTCTTTTGTACTCTGATGTTGTCTTCTGGTTGGGAACTATCAACTATTGCCTTGATAATTCTTGAGTTCCTTCTAACATCCTACACTACATCGAGGAATGACAGCAATTCCCTTTGAACTGTGTAAATGTCTGAGCACTTAGTGTTGTATTGTCTGGTATATGCCCAGCCTCAACGTGACTAAGACAATACACCACACGTTTTAAAAGCACATGTTTTTTCTTAGAACCAAGGCTGAAATTGAAGTCAAGAATTCTTTTAAAAGGATGCACAGGAGCAAAATTTTAGAAAGAAAAGGAAAATCCTGATCAGGTTTTTCCTTCCGATAATGAAGTACAAAAAAAGTACATGTAGTGGGTATTTTGATGTGCTTTTTTTCCCCCAGTCCTCTAAGGCTACAAACATGAATCCTGTGCTGCTGACTCATCCCCGGTTTGGGGATTTGCTGGCAAGGGACCAGAAAAGCCAAATCAAACACAAATTCACTTTACATCTACCGTACAATGCATTAGAGGGAAAAAAATTGGCAGAACAAAAAGACAAATGTAGCAGGAAGACTTTCTCCACAAAAGTGCCTAAGTTGTTGGTAACATTTAATTTTATTACAAATTTACTGCTAACTCCTTTCCTGATTCTGGACAAATTCTCTGCACCAAATGGTCAAGAATGAAAGTTTACAGCACACTGTTTTGTAACCTGTATAAAAGTTAAAAGCAAAGCTTAACTGAAATCAAATTACCAACATGTGGACTAGTTTTATTGCTACAGGAACAAGAGAATGGAAGATGTACCAGCACATGTAAACTGGATTGGTTGGTAAATGAATGGGGAAAAATTCAAATTCAATTTAGGCATCTTCTGTTCTTACAAATATTAATGCACTGAAAATCGTTCCTCTTCAACACAAAGTGCAGACAACACTAATCCAATCCTGAAAGTCATGGCATTTTACCAGCAAGAAACTTGCCAGTAACTGTGTTCTGGATAGGATGTTCCATTTACATCAAGAAGGGGTGTGAACTTCACATAAGAGAGGGGTCGGTCTAGAGGATTTTGTTTCCACTGGATAGGAAGTACACGCAACTTTTTCGGCGACAAACTACAGAAGCAAACTGCTCGCAGCTGATGACTGATCTTTTTTCTTCAGTGAAGAGGAAGAGAGAACGATGGAGTGAGATCCATAGGGACAGGATAGGGTCACCGCTTAGTCTAAAGCGACCCGTTACCAGCCTTGCCTTCTGGGTCCCAGTAAGGTCTTCAGTGCTGGACTTGACAAGAGCAGCCAAGGGCTAACGGACGGGCATTCAACATTGTCAGGATTTTTGTTTTGTTTCTGTCTTTGTTTTGGTTTTATACAAAATCTTGTCATGATGGCAGTTGTTATGCGCACATTTCTCCCTGTCCAACTTGGGCACAAGAAGGCGATACACATAAGGTTAGTTGACTTGCTTATCAAATTTCTACTCAATCATGTACTAGCAGGTAAAGTGCATGCGTAGGCATGGAGAAAGAAATAAAAGGGACCATGAGACCACGACATTCATCAATTCTGCTACTGAATCTTCAACTGTTTCATGGAGTACCATACTTGTGAATTGTGTGAAAATGATGGGTCATTAATGTCATCATAATCTTTCAGCAGTTTATGTGCATGTGCGTAGAGTGCAAATTCCTCTACATGCCTTGAAAATGAAATCATGGCACCAGAAAAGCAACACAAATTTATCCTTATAAGGTTACAGTTTGGATTTAATGTTCTAGCTACTAATATGATGAAACATAGCATACATGTACAGATATGCAAACTCGTCTGTCTCAGCCATTCAATGTTGAAGCTTTCTATTACAATTACACGTAGTATTTGTGCTTGAAAAAAGTTGATCTCCAGGACCTACATGAATATTACAGGTATAAAGACAAATGCATGAGATTGATTGTTGGAAATGATTTTTTTTTCTCAATCAGAGTAAAGGTTGGTTTGATGTACAAGGTACGTTTATTTTGTTGAGAAAAAAGTCAACAAATTGAGAAGACTAAATATCTAAAACAAAACCAACTCAAAACCCTCCAAAAACTACTCAGAACTTCAAGACTTATTCTTATTACATGTATATCATTCTTTTGACTTACTATCTTTCTACACTTGTTTCACAGTTTGCGACTGGAAAGTAATTTCTTTGACTTCAAATTCATTTAGCTCAGGTAAATGTACACTATTTATGTACCGGTACCCCAACTTGTGTCCAACAATACTTCCCTGGAGGCAACCATGGAAGGGGAGGGGGCATTTCAAGGTTATGTCTGGTACAGGTACATGTGTGTGTACGAACTGAGTATCCCCTCCCCTCCCCTCCCTTAGGGTTGGGCTGATGGGTACCATTTCAACTGGATGCCAAGTGCACATGTGAAATCTGCACATTTCCACCATTTGAACTGAAATTCATTGTGCATGCTCAAATCAGTGCACCCCATTCCAAGCACGTATGAACCTGACCATGCATGCGATTAGTCCCCACCGAAGGGGCATCACCGTTAAACAAAGACCCTTTCCTGTTCACACGTGGCCAGAGACACAGCAGTCTCACCATGACACAGCACTACGCCTTGGCTGGACTAAGACGTAAGATTTACCAGGGTCCTGTCCAAGTTCTTTTGAGGGATCATCTTCTTACTGGCCAGCTGTTGGGCTGGTCAAAGGCATGACCCAGACAGCTTTCCTCTGACCAAACTTGAATCCAACAAAAGGCCCAACAATACACAGGGAAAGACACAAAATAATCATCACTTCACTGGGACAGGTCAGTCCACAAGAATTCGTCTAACACATGATACAGGGTCATAACAGCATTTCCAAATCTGAATGGACTGATTTCCAGCTTTTGATTACCTCGACAAAAGTTACACATGGAGACACGGTAAAAACTGATGAAAAATTCGGGGAAAAATTTCAACAATTATCATTTTATAATTTTGAAATCATTTCCAGGCTAACACTTTTACCAGACATCATTTGGGCCAGTTTCATGTAGTTGGAAACGTTGGATTACGTTTTGCCTCTTTGTGTCTTTTAAAGTATTCTCAGTTCCACATGTGATTGTACCAACACCAGGATATCATACCTGGTATATGTACTTCATACATGTATACCCATGTATACACCTTGTACTCGTATGTGTTATATATGTACCGGAACTGCATAAAGAGTTGCCATGTATGGAAGTTAGAGTTACATGTAGCTGTGTATGGATGCATAAAATTGTACAGGACAAGGTGTGGCTCAGATCAAAAGGGGAAGTATTCCCTAAGCTTCTTACATGTGTAGACCAGAAAACTTGACGTCAATTACCGGTACGTATCAAGATTCACAACCATTAATGCTCTTTTTAAGAGACTCCCTGTTAAGGCAGAAACATTAGTTACATAGGTGTCGTGAAGGGGGGGGACTCCTGCCCCGCACCAAAAAAAGAAATAAAAAAAGCAACAGAAGCGGGAAAAAAGATGAAAGGGGATGAAAATCAGTAAATCACCCATCTGCTTGAAAAACATCAAAGAAACTGACCACTTTCGTTATCACTGCATTACTGATTATGCAGTAATATCATGTGCAAAAGGAAGATTCCATGGCACATGTACACATGCATGTACGTCATGTCCTCAGGACTGGGGCCATCTAGGTGCAAAAATTTACCCTTGTTGTGGGTTTGCCTCAGAGAGAGCGGTAAATCATGGTGATTAGTCATACTTCCTGACATGGTCAGCCCCGACTTATGCCACGGTACTGTGTAACCACCATGCACGTGCACAACTAAATACACGTACACTGTACATGACGAATACACAGCTAGCGTAAGTACATTTGCTACAATGGCCACATGTACACAACGTACGTGAGGAACCTGATCAGAAGCACAGTCTCTATACTTTACTGAACTGACTCACTTGTCCACAAATCTTAAAGTTAGTCACAGTTGCTATACAAGATAATTTACCATCGTGTACATGTAAGAATCAAACTGTACATGTACATCACATGAAAGCCCATTATAAACAGAACAATTCATTATTGAAGAAGCCAGAAAACTGCAGGTGTACTTCCATCCCCCACCACAATTTTCCTGAGTGCAATTCCTTAGCTGAGCTCTCTGAAAACTGCATATTCAAAGAAATGCACAATATTTCTTGGTCTCATTTCTGGGTTTCTTCATCTTTTTCTTATGAATGAATTATTTCTGGTAATGAAACCAAGGATTCCTCAAAAGTGTCCTGGGAACTGTACCTCATAAGCCTGAAGAAACCTGTAGAGAGGAGACAATGAGAAGCAGTTACAGTTTTAGAGGTGGGAGGAAAACCCTAGAGAAGAACTTTTGGGGTAAAAGTTTAAAACCCACAGAATCACGTAGGGACAGATAACCAAATCCACATGTGGACTGAGCCGGGAATCAAACCTGGACCACAGAAGTGAAAAGTAAGGAAACAAACACAATACCAACCTCACTTGGTTAAGAAATTGCCGTGTCAAATTTTGACAAGCAGCTTACCATCTAAGCAATTAAACTGCCCACTGATAATGCTCAATGCAGTTTTAACCAATAGGTTGTTTAAAACCTGCCCAAAATAAGTTTGCATACCTCAGGTTGAGACCCTGCGCAAAATGTATCTCATCAAATCCTCTGAAATTTCAAAAAAAAGTTCCACTGGACAGATATATTTGGACATGAACTTCTTATCAATTCTTTTAATACAATACATCATGTCAGGCAGAAACATATTTAGTGTTATGAACTCTGCAAATTTTTTCTGGAAATTATAGCTACTAGTTAGGGCTGAGTCAATTCAAATAATTCGCTATTCGAATATTCGACCTTCAATTCGATCGAGTGTTCAGTCGTATTGACTGGCAGATTGTTGGGGAACAAAAACCATACACAAAATCAGTTGCAATAACACCCACAATTGCACATTCTAATCATTATTATAGCTCTCACATCTACGAGTATCTCCAGCCATAATTTAGCGAGATTTAAGAGACGAATAATTCTCCTTGTCCGGTTGAAAAGTATATTTCTTTTAAAATTTTTAAAGAATAATATACTTTTTGAATTGTTGTAAGGTGTCTGTCGTTTTTCATTTGAATCTGCTTAGAACAAGCTTCCACAGTGCAATTTTTCTCAGTTAAAACAAAAGAAAATTCTCTCTTCCTTTTCATGAATTTGCATTCGAATATTCAAATTTGAATTTATTTTTCGATTTTGATAATCGCTCAAATATTCGGATATTCGGCACAGCCTTACTACTAGTACTAGTAAATTATCACTGTATTCCTTTAAGGACTGTCATACATGTACATTTAGGAAAGCATACATAAAGTACAGCAATATCTGACATTTTCTACAGAATCAACTAATAGTGCAGATCTACCAATCACGGCTGTCAGTTATACCTAATAGAGAACTGACAGCCAGCACGGCTACAACAATTGCAGCGCTTATAGTTATGGCAGCAATTTCCAAATTACTCTCTGGTTACATGTACGACCTTCACTTTAAGCATTACCAATCTCCAGGTTTGGAATTTTAAAAATCTACAAATGCTGTGGTACCGCATCGAGACAGGCACCAGTTACATGCATCATACTCATGGTTCCGGGATAGAGCTAGTCCAAGTAACCAGGACTCCACGAATTACCTCTTCTAACATTTGGGGAAAATGCCCAAAGGTTAAAAGAGGCAATCTCCTACATTTAGTTCCCTGGACTAGGTTCTAAATGAGCTCAATGTCAAAGGTCTTGATTTGTTTTTTACTTTTCTTTACTTTTCCAATCAAATCCTTTTGCTATCTACATGTGTATGTTTTCATTTACTTTCTTTTTTCGACAGATTCATCCTCTAAAGGACTTATTAAAGGGACATACAGTTCAATATCCATTGAACATTATCAGACATTCGCTGGATTTTATGAGCTGAAATCGCACCAGTATGTTCAGCATTTACAGGCAGTGTTTTAGCTAGGATTTCAAAAGTGGGAGTGCAAAATGAAAAACGGGGAGTGCAATCTTGATAAAGTCCAAAATTTGTGTGCAAACTTGAAGCACGCAACACAAGTGTGCAGCGCCAAGTCCCTTACGGCCGGAATCCAGGGCCTGCATACATGTAAGGGCCCTGGAAACTCTGCCTGTTTTAGATGCTCTCTGGTGGACTATGATGAATCTCTGACATTGTTTTTTTTTAGAGTTTTGCTTTTTCGAACAACAAAATAACAGCTTTTAGAAAAAAAATTAAATTGTAAAATTGTGTGCATTGGTTGTTTTATATAGTGTGATTAAGCAGCCCTGCAAATAATGACAAACACCTTTGAACAGATTTCTCATAACCACTTTATTTTGTTAAAAAAAAAATGGTATGCAGGTAATAATGCAGGTCAGTACTTGACAAACGTTGACCTGCCTTTTGGTTGCAATACAGTAGATTCAGATTATTATGTGATAAGCAAACAGAAATAAATACTGATGTAAAATGAATCCCAGTATTCCTACATACATGTTTCCTTCAGCAATTTGGCTAAGAACAAGCAAAGTGAATACAAGACTCAACTTCAATGTGGACGAAAAAATACGTCATACACCACAGGCAGGCCACGTGCTCGCGCTTGTGCATAGTGCAAGAGTCTAAACATGGCATCGGAAGAGTTTGACAATTTTTTTCATCAACAAGGTAGAAGAACCTAAACAAGCATTATGCTGATTATTGACAATAACAAAAATTACATGTAAGCCAGGCCTTGCCAACTATAGCGTCTGTCCCAACTATAACGACGCGTGGCAAGGTACACGTGAAAATAAACTGAACGGGAATGCCAGTACTAGGCCCCACGCAAAATGACAATTAAAATGGTAATTCCGAAAATGATATTCTTGCATTTTCTGTTTATTTTTACTTGTTCTCGCGAGGGAGGTTGAGGGCTTAGCCGCTGCCCCATAAGAAAAAGGTTGTCTCCATAATCAGGATTTTGAATAAATGCATATCAAACAGCATCGCATTACCCTCCTAAAACACAGCGCGCTGCCTTTGCTCGGCCGCGTATTTTGTGCACAAACAATATGCGATGTCCTATCCAGTCTTTACAATGGAGATCAATGGATCACAACTACCGAATACATGGTGCTCAGGAATCAGTCATCGGCGCGTGTGTGCCAATATGGCATGCTTTTTGTGAATGATCTGCTTCGCTGGTGTGATCAGGCCAGCACACCGTGACGTCGCCTCCAGAACATTAACATTCAGTTCAAATCACTATTTGAACAATATGGTGACATCACGCTCGACAACAAGACCGTTTACGATTTGAAGGGGAAATACCTCCTTTCTTCACAAATGCATTTAAACCCTATCATCATTAGGGCCTACTGGAATCTCTGATTCTCATTAGATCCTAGCCGGGCGACTTAGACAGTTTAAAGACCATTTTTAAGGAGAATTCAGAGGACTTTGACTCAGGGTATGAGCTATTTTGATTGAAATGAATTAATGGAAGCAAAAGCCTATGGAAGGTACTTAGACCCTTGCCTGGCCTAGCCCCACTAGTGTGGCACGGACTCTCACTCCTGATCTATCATTAGCCACACATCCGTATACGTAATTTCGTGTCGGCATATTAAACATTTCGGCGCACCCACTTACATGTATCATCATGGGTGCAATTTCTTTTGCACATGAACATGATCCTTGACCATTCCGCTTTCTAAAAACCATTTATTGAATGATTTCACTCACGTTATTCAGGTATTTTCCAGTCTTTTTGCCTTTATCCATTCAATCTAACGGGCTCACTCTCACTGTCGCTATCTTTAAAATAAGGTCGTTGAACATTACGTCACTTGACCCCTCATCGTCTTGACAGCTGTTCCATGTCACAACATATGTAATAAGCGGACTGGGCGATAAGATGCTACAAGTACCAATGGGCTCTTCCAAAACTTTGGCTGCAGTTTAGATGTCTTGACATAAAACAGCCGTCGAGATGATGAGGGGTCAAGTGACATAATGTTCAACGATCTTATTTTAAAGATGGCGACTGAGAGAGCGAGCCTGTTAGATTGTATGGATAAAGGCAAAAAGACTGGAAAATACCTGCATAATGTGAGTGAAATCATTCAATAAATGGTTTTTAGAAAGCAGAAAGGTCAAGGATCATGTTCGTGTGCAAAAGAAATTGCGCCCACGATGATAAGTGGGAGCGCCGAAAATGTTCAGCATGCCGACACGAAATTGTGTATACAGATGTGTGGCTAAGGATGGATCAGGAGTGAGAGACCGTGCCACACTAGTGGGGCTATGCCTGGCAATGTACAAATGTTAAAAAAGGCGATTTGTAGGGTCAAAGTTTAGCAAGTTACTCGGACAATAAGAAATAGCCGGCTACGTCGCGTCATGATGTATGAAGTAGGCCTAGGCATGCTTGGCCTCCGTGTACAATCTGCAATCGTAAGACGAAACTAGAATAAAAATGCATACCAAAAACAACTGCATAAATAAAGGCACAAGCCATAGTAGTCTTCAAACTGATAAGCTTTTCTTCTTCTTCACTTGATGACGGTAAATACCAAAAAAGAAGCAAAATCTTGCGTCTTCTACTAAGAGCTACAACACTGCAAGTTCAACGGAAAGATCTTGTTATGTTGACCTCGGCTGGACGCAACCACTTTTGATAAGGGGTTTCCAAATTTGATGATTTCGTTTAAAGGTAATACCTATCCAATTTTTTACAAAAGAACTATTCATTTCAGAAGTAATTATAAAATTTCAATATAATTAGCTTTGTTTTGATCTAGATTTCATGATAATTTAAAATATCTGTTCTCAAGAAAACACATATTGTGACATAATACTCCTTAATGAAAATACGTTGCGTCCATTGAGGTTTCGATAAGGTCAGAGACTGATAGCTTCTTGTCAGCATCGGAATAATCGATAAGGTAAAAAGTGAGGGGTATGTTGTAGCGATTACAATTCCGTTTAGAAAACGTAGCCTAAAGGTAGACTTAACATTGTTTTTAAAAATGCGAAGGACATTATTTCATCGCTTGAAATGAATTAATATTTGAACACAAGGGCAACGTCGAATTTCTAATCTAATCGATTATCGAAATAGGCCCCTAGTTCGATTTAAATGTCAATATTACGCACTGCCCACCTTTCAACAAAATGGTGGTGGAATAGTAAGCAGAAAACGGAAGGGTTGTCGCGTTGGTAGAACATTTATGGGGGTGTTTACATGCATGTTGCCGGCTTCCTTTCTTCTGTAACATCCTGGAGTGGTAGCGTGTGACTTCTGTGTCTGTTTAGAGAAGAATAAGCTTCTAATTTCGAGTTTCTTTGTGATTGAACTGCGTTCAGCGAGGTAAGTTGATTTACACCGTGTGCATGTATGTAAGCGTGCGATATGCCTTGCGTTGTCAACTGCAGTACGTACCGGTTTGCTGCGCACATGACACACGATGACATGGATGAGCCCGAGAGGGGGATTTCGTCGGTTTACAGTTTGCATACATGATATACATCAGTTATAAAGTACATATAATGAATATAATAAACAGGAAATAAGACAAAGAACTCATAAGAAAACACACATTAAAACAATTCAAACATGTCAAAATTTATACTAAATACATGAAACTTCGAATCATTTCATTTTAAAAGAACTGATAAATCCAATTATCAATAGATAAAAAGACTGGAAATTGTGAACAATGTCTTCAATCAGATACCATGAAAAGCAAAGACAAGTCTTTTTCTTCCTCCTTGATTCTTTCAAAATGCAAACAGAAATTTTGTTTCGACCCCGAGCTGAAGTCCAACGACTATTCTTTATTGCCCACCTCATTACAGACGTTGTCAACGTCATCAGGCATCTTGTGGGCGAAGTGGTAAATGGGTGAAGTGGTAAATGAGTGAAGGGACTTTACCTGAACATGTACCACCAAATGAAATAATTAATGATCTCCAATGTACATTTTCTCATAGGGACTGAGTTAACTTGGGATCGAGTTGGTTACGGACTGAATTGACCGGTACCCAACTACCCGTTTCATCTTTCAGTAGCCTGATAAAAATATGTACCGGTAGCTGTCTGAAACGTACTTGTGCAGGAAGGATGTTCCTACTGCATGTGTTCTTTCAGTTTAATTTTATGTTCATGTTGTCCTGAGTTTTTAATTTTGCACTTTAATTTCCCTCCCAGTTGGACTCTATTTATCCTTGATTTCTATTCCTGTTTACTTTTTGAAGGGTACTGCTGGTCATCATGGTCAGTCATCTGGTCATGCCAGTATGACTGTAAAATCTTTCCTTTTGTTGTTTGTGTTTGTGTCGGCGGTCATCCCTGTCTGTGTTAAAAAAGGAAAGGGTTCCCCTCCCGGCCACCACCTCAGACCTCGTACACAAAGCATATGGGACATGGCCAAAAAGGTTCAAGTAGGACCCTGCATGTAAATGTACAGTATTAAACTTGAGTTTGTTTTGACTTCTGAATCATTGTTTTGGTAGTTTTTAAGCCATATTTATATTTAACTCTTTTGGAAAATATTTTTATTTGCAGTGGCAATTTTACTTCCCCTTGTACTGGTCCCTGAAATCGCGAGGCTGCAGAACTGGCAGCAACAACACACATGTGCCAGTACTTGGAAAGTGGGTCTCTGACCGTTCCTTTGAAAACTTCCTGCAAACCGAGGAATATAAACCATAAAGTAAATTTTCTCATTTCATTAAAAATAGCACTTGATAAAAAGACAACGAAAGAAAAAACTGACAGTGATGGGAAAGGCCTAAAAAGATTTGGTATCGCCACTGTTCACTTGATCACTGCATTGTTTCAGTGACTATCAAAAATTAAATCCTTGTCATACATGTACTCTAGGTGTATTAATCTGATGCATGTGCATTCCTGCCAGAACCATCATAGCGCAGAATTTTGGACAAGTACCAGTTACCGTACAAGTTCAGAGTCACTTCCTGTTTTTTTTTTACTAGTCAGGACAACAAACCATCTCTGGAAGCCCCTCCATGCCACATACGTTTTTCACAGCTGTTGTAAAAGTCCAGTTGTTTCAAAAATTGCTGGATAAATTGGAATCATACACATCTGCGTCTAATCTGTGTCTCTTAATTAACAACTGATTTATATGTGCATGTACACTGTACCTGTATTTTTGAACAATCACCTGTACCTGATATACATGTACATGTGTACCTGACATATGAAAAAAACCCCAAAGTATTTCCTGAAACTTTAAACAGAAATTGATCCTAAAAACAAACAAATCATTCAAAAAAGATCTTTCTGTACTGGTACTTGTATTTGAGAAAAAAATTGGAGAATTACAATGTAGTTTTTGTACTTGACAGAAAAATGTATTGTTCTCTTGTCTCAGTGCATTTGACATGTTTGATGTCAAGCACCAAAAGTTGAGCTTAAAAAGAGCCAGAGAAACACTCAACCTGCTGGTGCTGCTGATGTTCTCATCTTGTCATTGTGTAAATAGTACTTGACCTAGACTGAAAACTCACTTGAATGATAATCTGCATAACAGTATCATGGCAACTTGGCTCATATGTTATCTTGTTGCTCCCAAATTCTTACATATTTTCAGGAAACAGTAAAACTGATAAAACACTTACATTTTACCCGCTTACTGGAGATTTCATTTTTATCCTATCTTTGAGTGCTTAACCACATAGTAAATGCTAAGGTTGAATTATAGCACATGACTTGGCACATCTGGCTTTTTGAAAAGATGGCCTATTTAATTCTTTGCTGGCAGTATAAGGAAAGAATAGGAACAAGGAAGTGGTTATTTCTGTAGCAAACTTTGAAATGTAGAGGTTTTTTGACTGGCCTTTTCATGTGCTCAGTCTGTTTTTTGGTTTTCAAATTTGTGAGATTTTTAGTTCTGTGCATTGAAAGCCCGAAATTTACCAGTAAGGCCTAGATTTATTTTGATACAAGCTGACTTTCTTTAGAAATGGAGTTCTTGCTGTTGCTCATTTCATAAGGCCAAGTCATAAAGAAAATCAAAAACAAAAAAAATCTTGGGAAGTCTATGATTCCTCCATAATATTCCACTAGTCCTGCCAGACGCAGCACAGTCCATTGCTGATTATGATACCATCACTGCATTTGCGCACATATGAACATGTACATGTACATGTAGTTCAACGTTTAAACCTGGTCTTATGGGTACAAATGTAAATATACCGATCAATTCCTATGGTCTACAGTTTTGGAAACTGTTAAAACCCATTAGTCAAAGAGGCATTTAGCATATACTCACATGGTGCATTATGATGACATCACACCTTGTTTACATTTACCCTTCTCTGTGGGAGCCAGGTGGGGATGACAGATTCCAACAAGCCCATAGGAAAGCATAATGTAAACAAAGCGAACAGTCATCAGTGTATACTGGGACATGTACATGTAGGTCTTGGTTTTGTTGTCAGTTCGGTGCAATGCAAAGCATCATTTAACAACTTCTGAATCAGATGACAAGGCCAAGAGATGTTTTTCATTTTCTCGAAATTCACCGTATTCACAAGAGCAAAAACTTCATCAACATTGTAAGTTATTAAACGTGGGCCCCAAGATTTTGAGCAATTTTGTCACTTCAGTTGAAAAAACTGGCACAGATGACAAATGGTCCATCCTACAGTACCGTGGATGAACTACCATAATGGAGTGGAATGGCCAAGTACATGTACCGTACATTGCACATATATGATTGGTAAAGAGCACAAGTGTACATACATGTAGATGGATCTTCACTTTACCACTTCCAGGTTTTGTACTCAGTCTGTCTTAACCATCCTGTCCACTAGAATGGTAATTCCAGAAATTAGGGGTCCATTTTTTGTCCGTCCCTGTATGTACCGGTATGTATGATTTTGTATGTTTAGAACACATTTTCTAATTTCCAAGAGTGATGAATTAATGCAAATTGCCTGCCAAACAAATACTGGTAGTAATAGTTTGAAATCAATTCCAGTGATATTTCCATGCCAAATAACAAAGGTCAGATGTAACAGGGACACAAAAATATCCCACTTTTGGACCTCTAATTTTTGGAATTACCCATAAGTCAGAAATAATGTGGTACCAAGCCAAGTGGAATTCATGACAGAAATGACTTACATGTAGATTAGAAGTCAATCGAAAAGAAAACAGACCCTCAGTTGTACTGTTTCAGTTTTGTGGTTTATTATTATCAACTTATCAAACTCTGTATGAATTACATGTTGTTGGATTAGAGTTTCCCTCAAGTGTGAGTCTATACATAATGCAGTGTATGCAGTTTCACAACTTCAGTGATTGAACACCCGCTATTGCTGGGTATTGTGTCGTGACTCATGTTGAGTGGGACGTTACCGTGATGAGTCCTACATACATGTTTGTAATATTACACAAGCTACTGCAGGGTAGAGCCATATGCATACATGCACAGTGTGCACGCACCTGTGTATGCATTGCAATGAAGTGACATTCATTCTGTTGATGAGAAATTGTTGGACAAAAATAATCTATGGAGATATTGATTTGACATTCTGAGAGAGTGCAGCCCTCACCATGGCTCATTTCATCAAGAATTTTGGCCTGCCTTAGTTACAGGTAGCTAATTAGTACAAGTATTTTACCATGAACCCTATTGAAACTTACCAGGGGTATTGTAAAATAATTTGCCTTTCTGCATTTGTATGGATTCGGGTGTAAAAGTGATAAATGAAGGGGGGCTCATGTGGATTCTTTCCATCATGTTGGGAAATATCTTTAAAACTGAAATTGTCTCATGAATGTTTATGATTACTGTACCGGTGTACTGTACAGAACAGCTTGGACTGTGTATTCAAAAATGTTTTTAAAAACCTTTGTTTTTTATTGAGGATTCAAATGATAATTTAAAATCCTTGTATATAGTGACATACAAGTACCTGGTACATTAATGAACACAAAATACCGGACATAAAATATTCACATGTTAATTTTCAAAAAATAAAGTTACATGTATCTAAAAAGCCAAATGAGCTTTACATGTACATACATCTGATAAGAGTAGATGTACATAAAACATACAACATCCAAAAATACTCCTCAAAAAAATCACACCAAAATTGTAGAATTATACATGTAGTACACTCAACCGGACATAGAGAAAGGTAGACAACCCATCCAGCAACCAGAAACAACCAGCCAAACCACATCACCATACTAACAGACAAATAAAATGTACACATGTATGAAGCACTGAACGTAATTCAAATGTTCGACGTTCCATGCAATCAGATATTCAGATTCAGTCTTGCCGTATTCCCAGAGAAACAGAAACAAATTATGCTCTTGAAATTGTGAGTTTCAAGGCAAGGGTCTATCCCCTAGTCAAAAGAAGAGGCTGGGAGTCTATGTTTTGTTTTGTTTGTTTATTTTGTGTGTGAAATTTATTCTCTTTATCCCAGTGAGATCACACACGTACTAGTTTACTTTAAAAAGTGTAACATTGTAGAGTGTTGGATATTTGCATCAGCTGCGTTTAGATTGACACAACACCCTGTTGCTTCTAAGATGTATTTTTGTAACTAAATAATTTGACTTTGTCCTTTTTTTCATTGATTTTTTCTTCCGAATATTTAATTTAATAAAATGTACAATATGTGAATAATAATAATATTCAAATATGTGATAATCCATTGAGAATACAAATATTGAAATTATTAACACAGCCCCAACAACTACTGGAAAATGACATGTACGTGTACACACGTACCCATAGGTGTACTGTTGAAGACTGTGCGAAGAAGCTACATTGTACATGTATGGTATTCAAGTGTCAGCTGTCTCGTGTCTACAGATGACAATAATTGAAACCCTTCATGTAACAATGAAGAAGCGACACAAGGTCAGTTCAGGTGAAGCCTTATTGTGTTTCAGAATCATAAGAATTCCAAGCGTACCCATCATGCACAATAGTTAATAGAATACTAGTCATTAACCACACTGGACAGCAATCAAGATTTAGCAATCCTTTAGGTGTCAAGCCAGCCTGCTTGTGTGGTTTTGCTGAACACATTAGCTTCAGGGATTTACGCATATGGTACCGATACAATTACATTACGTAAAGGTACATGTACCAGCAAACTACAGCTGAGCCCAGTACATTATGTTTCTTTGAAGAGTGCACATGCAATGAAAATCATGTTTGGGCATGTGCAGTAGTACATGTACATGTACACTACATTTAGATACATGTACATGTACATGTATTGACCATGTTGACCCTGATGAGAGTATTCATGGAGTACATGTACATGGCATGTGCCTGTACATGGTGTCACAGGTGCATGTACATGTACACATACATTAAATTTACATGTACATGTATTTCTGTAATCAGAGACAAGTTGTTATGATTTGGAAATGCTACGCATAAAAACTGTAAAAAAAAAAATAATAATGTCTTGAGAAATTTGGTATTAGTTCTTTCCAAAATACTTTCTCACAAGCCAAATTTATGCTTGTTACAATTACAATTAGGGTACAATATTTAGCATCCAGACATTATTCTATTCGTACAATGTACATGTACCGGTACATAAATATTGTACATGTATATCAGCAAAATTTTGTAAATTGCAGATACCGTACATGTAGATGTACTTATGTACACATACATGTACATGTATACCGGTATATGTACAGTGTACTGTACTTGGCTAAATTTTGGATGACAGTCATATTAACTAGAAATAAAGTCTATTCAGACAAACTGGACTTCGAACAAAAATCGAGGATTTTGTCCCAGTGGACAATTCTTGCTTCAGGTTTGAATTTGACCATGTGTGAGCTGAAATTTGTTTCACAAGAAAACTCTTAAAAATAAGATAAAAGGAACAGAGAGAAATTTAGTATTTGTTTTTCTGGGCAAAAATGATTACTTTGCCTCGATCAGATTGCACACTGCATTGTTTCAGCCTATCTCTGTTGATACAAGCTTCGTGGAATAAATTATGCAGGTAAATTGTGTGAATTTCCTGTGTTTGTACATGGAATGTTTTCACAAACAGAAAGACAATCTCTGTTCATTTAGAAAATGCTAGCAAACTGTTCCAAACCATTTTGCTGTCTTATGCACCAGCTTGATTAAACTTGGCATTTTGTGTGGCATTGGTGCTAAATGGAGAATGATTTGTGTGTGTTCCTAGAGGTATTTACTCTTTGCTCCAATGTGTATTTACCCACCAGTTCTATGCTTGTCTGACATTTTGCACAAAATTCTGTGCATACTGATTATTTCTGCCTTTTGTACCAAATCTCGAGTGCCACTCCTAACATCACAAATGTTTCACACTGTGTGTGTGTTTTCAGCTAAAATTGGGCTAAAACATATGCCCCCAAACCTCCAAAACGTCATAACAAAACCCAAAAGTCCCAGTACTCCTTACAGTACCAGTAGCTGTGCAGTCATCTGTTGGCCCACTGCTATTTCACGTATAATGAATTGGAGTCATGTGTAAAAGGTTGTTTTGTTACGAATAGGCGTTTCACACAAACTTTGTTGGTTTCATCAGTTGTCACAGATCACTGAACTTTAAAGAATGGAAAATGTACGTGTACGGTGGACCGTACATGTAGGAATTCACATGTACATGTACATTTGTACTAGTGCTGTACATGTATACATACATGTACATGTTGCAATGTCGATTGTGGCCAACTTATACAGTGCTTGTACATGTACATGTACGGTACATCTCACTTGATAAACACGTACAGAGCTTCAAACTATAGTGTAAATTATCTTCTGCCTGGCAGAAAGGTATTCAGGCAATTTTCTCTCACACAACTCACATCACACAACTCACAGTTATGCTGTTTTTTTGGCATCACTGACTTGTCACTGTTTTTCTTTAATCATCCTGTCCATCTACAGAGCCCTTGGGAATGATGAGATAGAGATGTCAGCCACCATGTCAACCAGAATTGGTGGCAGTGCTGGTAGCGGAGGTGGTGGTGGAGGCAGTAGCGGCAGTGTCAACCTTGAGAAGAGATCCTCTGTTGCTCGGGAGATGCACGTTACCACCACCCCAGGAGCCAAAGTCAGTAAGTTACGCCACCTGTTTGAGGCCCCGGCCCAAGAAGTAAAGCCCCCGTATAAGTCCAAGATCAACACGGCCAATGGTGTAGCACACCCTGCACATCGACCATCTAGTCAGGAGTTCAACTTGAACATATTAGCACATCAACAGCAGAATGAGGACCAATATGAAGAGAAGTCGTCAGAGAATAAAGGCGATCCTAGAATGCGGTTCCAGAATGCACGAATGCTCTTTGAAACCACTAACCGGGCGACAAGTCCACCAACAGCAAGGAAGAGCTCATCCACAACAGCCAAGCAACCGCTCAGTCCACCAACCAGTCCTCATGTCAATAAGAAACGCTACAGCCGTAATACATCTACAGAAAGTACAGGGACTTGTAGCTCCGGTGAGAATGAATCTCCGAAGAGAACCCTTGCTGGACGGCCGTCTCCTGTTGAGACTCCAGAGAAACCGTCACGCCGCTTCGATGCCAAGGTATCCGATAGTACTAGCACACGCAATACTGGCCCAATATCCAAAGTAGTCCAGGATTTTTACTCACCAATCCAATCAGCCAGCACAGATCCAGTTCACAAACAGCCCCCTCATGAGAGGACCAAGCCTTCGCCTCCACCATCACCAAGAACAACAAAGCCTCTCCAAGGCATTAGTGTGGAGAATGGAGGGATGGAGGGGACCGCTGATGATTTCACGGAGCCGGCAGTTGTGCGTCGTGCTCGTATGCGCTCGTGTTCACCTGAAGAGGAGAAGAAACGTCGTAGCCTGGATGATCCTGTGCCTTTTGTACGGAAGGAAGTAAGTCCCACAGATATTCATCATGTTCAAGCACCCAAGACCAAGACCGTAGTCTCTGCCTCATCCCTCATAGCCTTAAACCAGCCAGACATTAATTTACGTGAAAAACTCGGTCTTGATCTTGAAGGAGGGACACACATGGAGGAAAGGAAATCTCCTCTTTCTCCAACTTCTCCCACGGCCAGGAAACCTGTGGTTATGCGTTCGGCTGGTTCCCAGCACAAGCTACGAGCAGGCATCCGCCGTTACTCTCGGGAGTATGAGGAAGATGACAGCGAAGAGATATCCTCTGAATACAGCACCCAGGCTTCCGCCTCTGACACTACTGTTGAAGAACGTGAGATCACCGTGTCTGCCGCAAAAGCCGAGGAGACCGAAGCGAGCCCCTTGCGGGATTCAAGCATCGAGTCGACTCGGACTGATGCCCCTGGTAGAGGCTCCCATCTGGGGGAATCCCATGTCAAGGCCAACCTCTGGACTGACACCGATGCCAACTCAGATGCTTCCACAACATTCCACTCACCGACGGGCCAAGTGGATGAGCCAAATGTTACTGCATCCACCTATGCAACCACTTGTCAGAGTCCTCAGAGGGACCAAATCAAGAGCAGGGACCTTGATAAACTAGAGATGGCAATGCAAACCAAAGAGACAGCGATAATCGACGATGAGGATGAAGAAGAAGAGGAGGAATCAGAGGAAGAGACAGAGGACCAAGAGATGGATACCAAAGAGCTGGAGCTGCAGCTGAGCCAGGAGGCTCTGAATATCATAACTGGGAGGGGGAAGTCTTCTTTCATTGAGATTATCGATTCAGCTCAGGAAGATGAAGACGAGGATGAGGAGGCAGCCAAGAAAGTGCTACCACAGGTAAGGAATTTAGTAAGTGTTGTGATGCTGCACACTTGCACCTGTTACATTCATCCCTACAGGTACATGTACATGTACAGGTAGTAACTCGTGATTGTCTCATTGATACCTCACAGAGGTTTACATGTTCATGTATTCATGTGTACCTCAGTGTTACATGTACCTCATGGCAACTTTATGGAATTTTTGTTCAAGGACAACATTGCTGGACTTACTATGGTCACTTCTGGACTTACCTTGCCATAAGGTTGAAATGCATTGTGGAGACACCAGTACCTCACTGTTAACTCATTACCTAAAGGCTTTCTAATGACTTATGATGTATATAATATCCTTGGCTTTTTAGTCATACTCACAGGATAATGTTCAGTACACGTACATGTATACAATGTATGTACATGTATGTATGGTTTACGAGTATGTACCGGTACCAGGATATGCTGGGTACAATGTACATGGTACCTGTGCCTGCAAATCACATATTGATGCCATCGTCTTCAGGCATATACATGTACATGTACCCCGGTACTAGTACCGGTACCATACACCTGTTACACCATAGACTAGTTACCTGTACATGTACATGTACTATGCTTTACGCAAAATATGCAAAACTTTACTGAACACATGGTACATGTACATGTGAACCCCTTTTTCTTGTACTTAAAACTATTGGCATGTATTGTGTCATACCGGTACATTACCGGTAAGTTCTTGCCGGTACAGATACGTTACATTTGTAATTTGCATAGAACATGTGTCACATGTACATGTATATATACAGTACATGTACCGGTACATGTATGCACTGGTAACATACCGGTACAATGTACATGTACAAGAATGTGCAGTATGCCTGCAGGTGCAAGTGCATGTACACCTACAGACATGTACAGGGTGTCCAAGAAAAAACCAAACCCTGAGGAAAGGGTTTAATATGCCCAAACCATGAGATATGATTATAATGTACATGTATCTCTGAAAAGTAGAAGCAGTATTCTTTCTAATGATACCTTGATGGTATCCCTCCTGTCATGCATGACTGAACAGCATTGTCTTGAAAATGGGGCATCCGAACTCAGTTGTAACACTTTGGATGCGTTCCAGGAGCCATTGAGCAAACTCCCGTCTCCTCCTGAGGTTTCCACGCAAAAGTTGGTAGCGGATATGCATTCAGGTATGGATGGAACTGCAGGTCTAACTGCGTTATGTGGATAAACGAAGAATGGGACAGTCAAGGTCCATTCCTCCTGCAACTGGTTCCCCTTGGCTGTTCGACAAGTTGCTGTCGAACGGCAGCAGTGTTTTCAGGAGTTCGGCACTGTGCGCCTCCTTCCCGAATGACCCTTATTCAAATTAAGGCTTGTCCCATGTTCTCGGTATTTGCGCACATTTTCCCAGATGGTCGACTTTGCCGGTAGATCCCTATCAGGGAAGGCTTCCCTAAATGCAGCTTGGGTGGCTTGAAAGCTCTTGTTTTCAAAACATTTTGTCACGACAAACACTCTTTGCTCTTTGGTAAGTTGCACTATGTTGCAGACTTGCTGTCATGCTTCGAACACTTTTCAACACTGCACTGGCCTACCGGTACCTCAGGGCAAGTCAACACATTTAAACCAGATTATTGCATAACTTGAAAGTGACAAAAGGCAATCTTCCGTCCTCAAGATGACCTTTGGTTGTCACCTTCAACCAGGACAACCTCATTCACTGGTTTATCCAAGTGAGTTAGGATGCCCCATTTTCAAGACAATGCTGTTCAGTCATGCATGACAGGAGGGATACCATCAAGGTATCATTAGAAAGAATACTGCTTCTCCTTTTCGGAGATCCTTATACATTATACTCATATCTCATGGTTTCGGCATACATGTACATGCATTAACCCCTTTCCTCAGGGTTTGGTTTTCTCTTGGACACCCTGTACAATGTACATATGTACATGTACATGTACCTGTACAGATTGTAAACTCAACGATTGACTCAGTGGCCAAAGGTTATTACAGGTATGAATCACAGCGTACCCAGTATGGCTAACTGTTGGGGTTGCATGGATATTGACTGGTAAATATTTCACACCTTGACACAGGTCGCCACCCATCATCAGTTCTTCATAAAAGCGAACAATAATGCACTAAGGCCCCATGTACATGTACCGGTATGCCTGTAGTATTTACTGCTTAACATTCAGCCTAATATCGGCATAGTTGATACTTGGTACATGGTGTTCACGCCATAAAAATTATTAATAGGGAGAAAAATGGAAACAGCTGTGTACTGTACCATTTATATATAGTCTCTTTTATTGTTTAAAAACATTGTCTGCTGTTGATATTCAGATGTACCGGTACCCGTCCCGGAACCGGTACTCGTACATGCGTACATAAGGAAATTAAGCAGATAAAATTAGAAGTTTGGAATGTACTGTTCATGGGAATAAAACAGGTACAGGTGCATGTACATTGTACCGTACATAATGTACATGTATGTACTGGTACATGCATCATTTTTCTTTTTACATGAGGTTTTCCCGGGGATGGAGTGTCAAATGAAATCCCTTTTTAATGTAAATTGTGTCCTGGTAATTTTGAAAAGTTTTTACTTCTAAAAATGGTCTTTCTATGAAAACTACTGGTACATTCCTCTATGCACAACACCATGGTCATGTCAACTGGCGTTTGTACATTTACTGGTACTATACACTACGCGTATCATACTGCTTTGATATTATTTCCAGAGAGTAAAGTTATGGTTCCTGTCCCTGGCTTGATTGGAAAAACAATTCAGTAGTTCACTGTTGCTGCAGAAAAAAAGTGTAACAACCCAGGCCTTATTCCAAGGCTTCTTGATAATGCTGTGACCAAATCGATATGGACAACTTGAGTACATCCTTACCAGCTGGCTTGGGGTTATCAGTTATCAACTGGTATCCATGACAAAAACCTTCAAGATGGATTAGAGGTTGTATCCAGATTGGGCTGACCTGATATTTCACAGGGGCTAGGCAGGTCAGTTTATTGCCCCTGGCCCCTGGGATTGAGAAACAGGAAAAGCAGTAGTTAAGGGATGTTTGACTTCATAGTTTACATTCAGTGAGTGGTTCTTATTTGTTCTGTGGATAGATACTTGGTGGTGTACATGTACATACATGTACTGGTACTGGTAGATTTGTTTGTTTTAGGCCTGCCCAAAACATATTGATAACGAAAGTGCAGTGCAGGTACATGTACATGTATTAGGGATACATTAGGGAACTTCACATGCACTCTAATCTAAAGTGAGCAAGTTACAATGTACAGACATTGTAAGTTACACCATAGAGCAAGGACATTACACAGAGTTGTAGTTTAAAAGCTCACTCCTGATAGCATTATTCTGGGACCTATGTCTCAGGACAATTAATTCCAGATCACAATTTTAGAATGTGCAGTTATTTTTTGATTCCCTGTGCTTGTCAGATGTAGAAAATTGTATAATTTAGTGCAAGTTACATGTACCTACATGTACCATACATATATTCATGTACAGGTGTGTTGCTGTTTGTCGTGACCCTTGGACAGCCACACAGAAACTTGCTGTTGAGACCTGTTTGTCTGAGATAGTGCTCGCCCCACATTAGACTTGAATCAAGTCAGACTTCCCGTTGCTCTTCTCTGGTCAGCCATCCCTTCACTGTACACAGTACATGGTCATCGCACTCGACTGCTCACGTAACTTCTTATAAGGCGCCCTCATTTGATAGCCTTTCCGCAATATCTGGTATCAACGTCAAAGATATTCAATGTGTGTCACCAGTCATGAGTCCGACTTGGCGGATAAGCCAATAAGACCCCCTGGTGATATGTAGTTATTCATAAATCCATATGAACGACATGATCCTCCATTTTATAATGCACGAGTATATGGAATTTCTACCAATCAAAGTAGTCAGACTTGTAGACTTGTTCATGATAATGGAGAGAGTACATGTACCGGTACATGTATGAATGATGTAAAAACAAGTCTGGCAATTTGATTGGCTGCTACCTCTTTTGGTAGATGAGCTACTTCACTGTGTACAAATGGTTGGCAGATTCGTCAAGTCGCGATTTCTCAACTCCAGTAATAAGTGGACACGAGAGGGCGTGAAGTAAGTAATGCCACGCAGTGCCTCCATATCCAAAGCATACCGGTACATGTAAATGCAGACGTCACGGAGGATCCCAACTTGAGTCAAGTCTAGCCCCACGTCTATAATGTACATCATGTAACAGGATACTCACTGTTTTTCACAAGTTGCATTAAGTGATTGTACCTGTACCACAGTATTGTGGATGGGTCATTGCATTGTCTGCCTTACATGTGAAAGAAAATAGTTTGGACTGCAGGTTACCCCACTTTTCTAGCTGTCTAGAGGAGATATTTCGATTGAACAAATTTAAATGGGCAATGATTTGTGGAGGCGGTAAAAAATTATTTTCTAGAATGGAATAGTTCACTGCACGTTACCAAACCTCATTCATGAGAGAGCTTTCTCAGCCTGAAGACCATTATGGTCAGACAGATGCATGCATTAATTAAAATGGCAGCTCCTTCATTTCCTCCCCCCCCATTCAAGATATTTAATACCTTAATGTTCTGCCAGACTGGTGCCTGCCATAACCATTGTGGAAGCGACATCCATCAATTTGTCAAGTCCACTCTTTCCTTCGGAATCCATTATTGAGTTTACCCAGGAGTCCCAGTGGTGTAAAGCAACAACTCTGGAGCCATTGTTCAGGTGCATCAGCCACAGCTGCTGCTCCTCGTATCTCAAATCTTGTCTCGTCCCGCCTCCCGACGCCTCCTCCCATTACTCCTAATACCACCTTGCCTCTGTTTCATCAAACATCCCAGCAGCTATACCATTAGGAGAGATGGTATCAAGTTATGCTCTGATCCCACATAGCCCTTGGCATCAGAGAAGAAATAAGCATTTACCAAAAAAGTAATTTCAGGGCCAAAGTGTTGCGGTTGTCAAA